ACCTATGTTTATGAGACGATAATTATACAGTTAGACAAAGTTGGCATCTGTAATCTATAGTAAGGTGGATCTTTTCTACAATAAACCGTCGAACCGGAAATAAAGTTTAGAGGTCCACATTTCAGACTAAGGTTTCTTAAAAACAAATACTGAAAACTAATCTACTGTATCAATTTTTTGTAAATTGTCGCTGAATAGGAAAATGCTCCTCACCAAGTTTGATTTAACTTGTTCTACTTGTTACAATGTTATAACACAAGGAGCAATATGCGAAATTACTGCCTCTTAACCACTTTTACTTATTCGGTCGGTCACTTTTTAGAAATTTCCGCAAAAGGCCGACACAAGCCGTTTACATACCTTTTTTACATACCTTTTTACCGCGACGGTAGAAAAAAAAAGTTTCAAACCCCCCGTTTGAGACAAATTAGATCATGATAAAAAACACTGGCAAAATAGATAAAAGTTCATTTTAATCATGAGTTATTTGTTCGTCTGGATCTATTTTTGGTCGAAGGCAGAGAAACGAAAACTCGCCCAGGGTTAACTTTGAATCTCGGTTCTGTTTCTTCAAAACCCTGTTTCCTGTTTCTTCTTTTTGTTCATAGGCGTTTTTTCCCGTTCCGAATTTGACTCGTCGTTTTCAAAGTTAAGTTAAATTTCCCTCTTATCCCGCATTGCACAACGGAAGCTTTGATGTTTTGACGGCTATCTCCGATCAACACAATGTAAAACACTCATAGGAAACCCCATCAGTACACATACTACAAAACGGATTACAAGAAACTTGGGCGGGTTCCTGCAGATCTGCATGTGCAAACGGACATTAGACCCATCTTGAATTAACTTAGGCTGTGTTCCTCAAACTCGTACGCCGTGCCACACACACACTGGTCCTAGTTTTCCAGGCTTCTTTGTCGGCATTTTTCAATTTCAGTTATCAATTTCTTTTTCTTTCCTTTGCAGGATAAATGGAAAAGTGATGGTAAGTGAAAGCAGTTCACAAAAATACAAGTTTCTGCAGTGGTCATTATAATCACCCCACACCCCCATTTTCACCCCCTCTCCTCCTTGCATACCCGTCTTGCAGTGACGAGGATGCCTCGTTGCAGGACCCCATCCTAGACTAGCCGAATTTAACCGATTTTTTGAAAACCAACCTAACGAAATTTGCAGTCAAAAGGCAGGATTCTTAAGCCCGAGAAGCTCCAAAATCACGGTAACGAAGGAAAAGGAAAAGAGAAAAAGAAAGAGAGAGGAGAAGGAAAGGAGGAGAAGAGGAAAAAGCATGGCTGCACTCGTAGTTTTCATCATAGCTACTTTGGAGATAATTTTAGGCCGAGAAACACAGTTGGACGAAACAGGTCCATTTGGCGATAACGTTTTCAAAAATCCGGCTAGATGTAAAAGAACTACAATAGTTGCGGAAACTGGTTTTGAGCTATCGCACCAGACAATCTCTGTGTTTTGTTGAAAGTGATAAAAAAAATGAATCAATGAATAAATCAATAAATCAAGTTAAAAAAAAACAGAAAACAAACGAACAGAACAAACAAACAAGGACCAGACTTCGGAATTCCACACCGTGCCCGATTCTTTCCTTAATAATTTGGCCGGGCAGCCAAGACAAACTCACCCTCGAAGCTCTGGATACTATTATTTGGTACTTTGTTGTCTTGAAAGCTTAACGTCATTCGGGATATATTTTTGAAAGCTGGTTGGACGCCAAATATGATGAGAGGGTGAGAGTTTTGATCATGGAGACTGATCTGTCAGTTTGAAATATGAATCAATGGCGTAAAAACAGGAAATCCAATCAGTTAACAAAATCTCTTAAGGTTTCATTTTTCTTGCCAGATCGAAAGTGTTTAGAACCACAAATAAGTGTAGGGTCAAAATAGTTGATTCTGAACCAAAGCCATTAGTAAGGCTCTAGAGCTCCAGGACCAAGACAACCAAACTTTAAACTTGTAACTTTTTGCGTCTCTTGTCACATTATGCTCTTGTTTGAGAGGTTGAGCCGGAATCAGTAAACGGTACATAACATTTAGCAATTATTTTTAAGCTGCTTTCAAATACACTTTGCCGTAGAGAAATCTCAAGCACCATGACAAAGTCTCCTACGTTTTAACAGTGGAAAATGTCAGAGATTTTTCCAATAAATGGGTTGTCAACAATAGGAAATGCAAATCAATTTACAAAATCTTTTCTCTTGTGCTTCTTGCCAGAAGCACAAGTGTTTAAACCACAAGCACGCCCAAGCCTTTTTACTCCCCGTGAGAAATTGTTTTCATCTATAGGTGTTATAAATTAAACGGGAAACTAAAATGTTTTCCCTCATACAGGAATGTACAGTTGAGAGTTGACTCTTGGTACGATTTCACTAAAACTTTCCAGAAAGACTGGCATAGCACGCATTATGGAGGTTTACCTGGAGCTTCACTTTGCTTTTTGAAGAAGTTTAATTTTCCAATGAAACACCAAAAACTACGAAACCGGCCTTAATATTCTCTCAGTGGAATATGAACGCAGTTGACCATAAGGTTTCGAGAGACTAGCACGGGGGAGTGTGTACTTTATGTTTTCCAAGAGCAAAATTAAACCAATAATAGTAGCAACAAAAACAACAATAACAATAAATATAGAAACTCGCTGCATCGCTTCTGGCCTCTACTCTTCAAGAACCTGTGGCAGACTCTCTTCTTCCGGGGGGTAATGAATGCGGTCATTGTCTTTTCGTCTAACGGTTCTGTGTGCCAAGCTTTTGTTTACGCACGTTTTGTTTCTTTGTGTAAGCCTTTAATCAGGCATAAACGATCCAGACGGCGCCAGCGTGTTTAATGTAGATTAAATCTAGTGATAATTGTGACGCTTAGTATCCTCTCTGAACCGCATTGCACATTGTAGTGAGCTAATCTCCATGCCGGACAAACGCTAAACTATATCCTCTTTTATATCACATACTTGTGAAAAACAGGATTATGACGTCACCGCTCCTTCTAAAACCTGCTTCTGGGTAGTTCCCCAAAATGTTCCGAGGTGTTTAATTTCACGACACGTTTTCTTCCATGGCATCTCCATGATTGCGGATCTTGTTCCAAGGACACGCGTTACCCTTGTCCAGCGGACGTTGCCCGTAACATTATGCACTTGCACTGCGTGAAAGGCTTTCCGAAAGTCTATGAACTTAACAACCATGCCGTGGAAAATGAGAGAATTTCAAACTTCGAGTGTTGGGGCTTTCACGGCTGCGATATGGTGGATACGCGATAAGTGCCTTAAGACTCTCAGACCACGTTAGCCCGGCTGCGAGCCGTGTTAACATGTTCCCCAGTTTCCTTGGCGTTGCGCTATCTTTCCAAGCGACTTTCGCGTTCACAATTGACGTTACGTTGTCTTTGCTAAATCTGGCTTTTGCCGTCAAAAGCCTTTAATAACATCAACTCTTTTTTATCTTTAGGAGTTCCTCCGATCATAATAGTGCACCCAAAGAATAGGACCATAAAAGAGGGCAGAGGATTAGCATTGAATTGCGCTGCAACAGGGAAACCCAAACCTCGAATCAGATGGAAGAAGAATGGACTGGCAATAACAGAAGATAAAAGAATCAGAATAAGAATTACAGGCAGAGGCTCTAAGTTGCGGATACGAAATGCTGTATTCCAAGATGGGGGTGAATATCACTGTGTGGCAAAAAGTCGTCTTGGCCTCCAAACTTCTATTAAAGCGAGAGTAGAGGTGCAAAGTAAGTAACCGCGGTCTTCATGATCACTCCAAAAAGTAGCTAAGGTCAACAAATGTGTCATGTGAAAGTACTACTCAGTAGCTTTCATATGAATGGCAACACCACAGGATTTCGTCCCCAGACGCAAGAGTAAAAACTACTTACTCAGAATAAATAGAACCAAGTGCTGAGGTTTCTAAATAGATAAGCAACACAACTATGCCGCTTTTGAAGCCGTTCGATTAACCCATGCACAGACCGTGTATTACTTAAGTCTAAATCCCGTCGGCTGGGCATTGTGTTTTAACTTGTTAAAACATTCCCACTCGTTGTAAACTATGCTAAAACAATCGTAAATAGAGAGAGCCTCTGCTGAATATCGTATTAACTTAAGTACAATTTTCATTTTTTTTTCAGGAAAGAATGAAACTTGGTATGTCACAAGATTTATAACTTTTCTATTTATTGGTAGTTTTCTTAAACCATTTTAATATTATCTAATGTTACTTTTCCATCAATTCAATCATACTCAGATCAGTTACGATTTTTAGATATTTCGCGCGACAAAAATTTGCCGTTTGTCCTCTTTGAATACTCAACGAACTCGAAAATGCAGACAATGTGGACCTGTACCACAACAACAGAATAATTTATAGATCGAGGGTTACTGAACCCAGAGACTAGTGCAGTTGAAAAACTACAGTTTGAGCGCTTATTATTATTTGTTGGAAAAAGCTGTTGTCGCTGTTGTTGTTTTTTTTTCCTTACTTCGATAACCCTGCTTTTTACTTAAATGTTTCGGAGAGTTCTGCGTTGTTGTTATAGGGCTGCGCAAATTGTAAAAGTCATTTCATTTTATATGCTAAAGCAGTATATTACTTGGTGGGGCGGAACTCGTGTAATTTTTATATATGCGCTTATTCGTATAATTTTAAAGCACTATTTACTTGTTTTCAAGTCGCGGGTTCGATTCCCACGGCCGGACCAATACTCAGGGTCTTAAGAAATGAAGGTACTCCCTTTGCATTGCAAGCGGCTAGACCTTCGCGTGGCTCGGATGACCACGTAAAATGGCGGTCCCGTCTCAAGTTGGAGACGTAAAAATAGTGTCCCCAATTAGTATTTTCGCGCTAAATACCTTGACACTCAAATAAAGTGCGTTTTTTTCTTCAGTGGACGTTGCCAACAGTTCAAAGGAACAATTTGCTCCAAATATATCTCACACATCTTCGTTCCTAATTTCAAACCACAAAAGCAGTCTGATGAAAAGATTTCCATGGCTGCGGCGATTCTGACAGACTACATGCGTCCTTCATGTAAAAGGTCATTTGTAAAAGTTCTGTGTTACAGTCTCTTTCCACCATGTCAGCCTGGAAAGTGTCCCACGCCACAACTTCTGTGTAAAGAGCAATGTAACATGTTGCGGGCAAGAACATGTTCTACGGAGATTCGCCTGCTGAAAACAAGACTAAGTGCTGTCGCTGATGAAATAATTCCAAACTGTTCCAAGTTGCCGTCGTTTGATCCGGACTGTAAGCGGGTACCCGTCGGTGAGTTTCCCCAGCGAAATAGGGAGCTTTTGCAAGGACAACGGCGACGGCAACCAGAACGTCAAAAAAGCAATAGGTTTGATCAGCAAAACAACAACTCTGCACGCGCATCATCCTGTTTTGCACATTTCTTTGCCGTCACTGCACGACTAAGACGTGAAGTCGGTCTTTTATATGGAGGAGGTAAACAAAAGACTACAAATTGCCTTTTCTCTTTCTTAGCTTGGGCGCGGTCGAAAAGAAATCAGTTCCAGGGAAATTCACCTAAACTTGAGATCTTTCGCGAGTCGGAATAACCGCGAGTAAGGTCTTTTAAATAGTGATGTTTTCGCTGCCGTAGTCGTCGTCGTTGCTAAAGCTCCCTTAAAGTATGTGCTTTTCGTGGGCTTATGATGACTTTGTTCATGTTTCCTTATTCATTACAAGCCATGAACCTCAAACTGACAATTCGCAAGTCAGTCATGACAACCACAAAACAAAGACGATTCTCGAGCATTAAAATATCAAACTAAATCTATTAAATGTCATCACAGCAGTTACCAGGACTTTCGAGAAACGGGCCCCTGAACAGGACGCGTCTATCGAAAGGTAACCCGAACCTAGCATCAAATGCGCCTGTACTCATTTATAACACCGTGATGGCAGAGTGAGGTATTAAAAGAATGAAGTGCTTTGTCCAAGAACACGGCTAGGACTCGATCCCTTGTAGTCTTTCCTAGTTCTTGAATCCGGACTGTCGATCCGCAACTTTCAGCGCATTAATTTATTTCCTATAAAATACATTTATACGTCTTGTGTGGTCTTCTAATTTACAGGCTCGTCACATGATTGTCCGAGTGCGACAGACAGTGGTGAGTGGTAGAGATGTATTTATGTATGTTTCATACCATTTTTTTTTCCTTGAAATGATGACGAAACTGTCATCTGCGAGTGGTCGACAAAAAGTGATTTTTAGTGGGCATTTTTTGAGCCTCAAAAATGTCGGGAAATATAATAAAGAGGTTAAAAAAAGCTGAATTATTTTATTCTTTATTTCTCTAATGCTGTAGATATTGGTCAAGTCACGATGAAAGCGTTGAAAGAGACCTTTCCCTTATGCCGTGACAGCGACGCACGTTCAAGAATTAATATACAAAAGTACAACAACGGAATATTCAAACTTCTAAAGAACGTCTGGTCAGAGATAGTCAACGGAACGACGATGCTAACTTCGCCAAGCCGTGAGCAGTCAACATACTGTTTCTCAGCCTCATTACCTTTTAACAAACTCGTTCGTGATTGGAATTTCTACAGCAAGACAGCGCTTCTTCCTAATTTACAGACACCGCAGCATATCACAGTGCCTGGACTGAAAGTTTCGATAGTGAGTTCAAGAGTGGTTGGAGTGTTGGTACCTTTAGGGACAGCGGCAAAATACAAAGTGCACGAGAAGATCGTGCTTAAAAACGTTGAATTTTTCTACAGGTATCAATTTGGTAACGGGACTTTCATTGCAAAAGGAGACTTCAATCTTTGCCAGACTGTCTTTAAATTGACTGTGGAAACGCTGGCCGATGGAACCGTAAAACTAAGCGGTTCCTCCGAATCGCCTATTGACGTTTACACCATCGAAAAGGCATTCATATCTGCGAAGCCCTCAAATTGGCTACTCGATTTGTTTGAAAAGATAGACTTGTTTGTTCTTCGTCTTATGAGACCGTACATGGAAGCTTACATAAAGGACGATTTCATGGTAAAGTTCTCCGGGGACACATACTTTGGTGCGAACGCCGTGCCCGCATCACTGGAGATCTTTGTCGGGAAATTGCGAGGGGATGACCTGCTCTTGGCGGGAATAACAAGTTCCAGTCTCACCATGACACAAGTATTGAAGATGATGACTAGCTTACCAATTCCTCAATTCGATTTCTTGAAGACTTCGTCAAATAGATCTAGCGTAAGTTTTTTTGAAGAGACTACCTTTTCAACTTAAATTTCATATAATACCTTGCCATTTAGAGTCTACCCACCAACTCAAAGGTTACATCCACAATAACACGAAAAAGAGTCGGACTGCATGGCAGATATAATAACAAATATGGGGCACAAGATAATGATGTGAACGAGAGAGGAGGCCTCTCTCGCGGTCAGTGTCAACGTCCATATTTCCTCCTTAAACTTTGCGAGGGCCTGCTGCCCATGGGAAATAATCCGTACCGCTAGAAAGAACTTCCCAATAAAGCCATTTCACGTGAAGTCACGTCCGTCATGTTGATGTCCCAAACCAGTCCTGTGAGCGTTGAACTCTTTTCTTATGTAAAGGCTTTCTTCTGTGGCAATTTGCATGGCTGCTGACCAGTTAAAACGCTCATCAGCTTTGGAGGATTGAAGAGCAATTAATTCAATGTTAATGTTATGATTTTTTTCCTAGGTTGGAATAACATTATCCACGAATAATGTAGACCTTAGAAACACCCCATATGGTGGACTTCAGCAGCAGCCGCTATCTCTTGCATTGGCAGGCACTGTTCCTGTGGGTTTGAGCCTGATAACTAGATCCCAGATCCCGAAAGAAACACACAACGACAGTCAAATTTATCAGTTGCTCCAGGTTTGTTATACTACAAGCAAACTTGCATTTGAGTCATGCACCTAATAAGAGACGCTTTTTACGTACCTGTGGAAGGACTTGGGGTGTGAAGTATGGAATCAAGGAAGCGTTAAACGTTCACGCTTGTATCTGAAGACGCGTTAAAACCAACACGAAGTTGTCGGAAGAGTTTCTAAGAATATGGTTTAGAAAGGTCACAGTCAATCGTATCTTTACTTAGCCTGATGAATATAAGTGCAGGCAGATTCTCATCTGTAGGCAATGACCTGAATACTCAAAATAAAGGAGAAAATAAACTTCATGTTCCAATTGTTCTTTATGTTTCTCGTTTGTTTAGAATGTATTTGGCCGAGAAAGTGAATTTACCGTGAAAGCTACAACAACAGATGGCTGGCAAGAGATCATGCTCGATTGGTACTTCCACAATGTCTCAAAAGAAGCAATAACGTCATTTGACAGAATGAAAATGAAGGTAAAATTAACAGAGCATTCTTGACAAAAAGTGATGTTAGACACTATCTCGTTATAGTCCTTCAACGACGGCAAAGAAATGTACACGGGCAAAGTTGCTGGTTTGCTGATCTAAACTTATTGCTTAAAGTCCCTATTACTAAAACTAGGGGTAATCATTGATTACGGATCCGCGTTCGTCACTTACAGAAAAATTACGGAAATGAAATCGAGTCGAAAGGAGTCCAGTTTCCCGGCCGAAGTGCCCCTGACAAAATTAATAGGGGCGGGTAATTTGCAGTCGCCCGTGATAGCTCGTAAATCCGTTTCTGCCTAGGGTCATTGCTTAAGCTCTCTAATGTTAATATCCCGAAATGTTCGCAATATTTAAAATATGCCAGGCTTTTAACTCACCAATATCTCCTAATCCCGCCGAAGCCCTAAAAATTGTTTGTAAGATCAGCTGAATTAACATATAACTGCCGTAAAACTCTGATCTATCCTTTGCTTTGAAGGTTTCCGTTGGTTTACCAATGCTAGGATTTGCCCTGATGCCGTCGATCGAGTTTGCCGCCGATGGGGGTTTATACAGTAGTGAGCAGCCTTCGAAGACCCTTCCCTTTAGCGGGCGACTTTCACTCCAGAATTACAAAACATACCTTGAAGGAAACTTTCAAACCCATTCAGAGTGGAGGAAGGCTTTGGGTATAGAATTCTTGACTATGAAAAACCTAAGAATTGGGTAAGTGTATAAAAACGCCATCTATGACATGGTGTAGGAGAACTAGTTGGGGGTTACAAGCGCTCATCCACACCAAATATTTTTGAAGATTGGAGAATCTCAGAATCACTTCTCCTTAGCAACGATTTCTTTTTTATTCACTCTTTGGATAAACGGTTGCTATCGTTACGATATGTGACGTGATATGTGCCATTTACGGAGATAAAATATAAAAAAACATTTACCAGTGAGATGAAAATTATTTACATGATCCTGTGATGTGCTTGAACTTAGTGCCCATGAGACTTTTCATCGCATTTTTACACCCACTCCAGACCTCTTTTATGTATACTGTACGTTGCGCAAAAAAGTGGAAAACCACTGGAAGAGTTAAGTCCACTACGAAATGATTTTCTTTTCGGCCATGGGCTGATATTTATGACTCGTACAGCTGAATTCAACCTTATTTTTGTTGCTTCTTACTCATTTTTCACTTCTTCTTAATTCCTTCCAGTGTATCACTACCAATCAACCAATCACTGCACAGCAGAATAAGAGGAGAGGCCGACCTTCTGTTAGGATCAAACTGCAACAGTAGTGACAACGACTCTATCAAGGTTAGCTACGATGATCGGAATATTATACCATACCAATCGCTAGCCTAGTCCAGATTCCAAGATAGTGGGGAAAACGGGTCGAAAAACGTGGCGGGAACACCGCGTGACGTAGGCTAACCAGTCGCGTACGAAACCAGGTTGTGAATTGTCTTAGAAGAAGTTCTTTCTTCTTTCTCATTAAATTTTTCGCTCGACATTTAGCGCCTTTTTTTCTTCACAGCAGCGGTGTGTCACTGGTCACCTCTTCTTGGGTTTTTCGGATGATTCTACAGGCCACTTTTTCTACGGCACGCTGTCTCCTGTTAGTTTGCAGAAACTCCTTGAACTTTGGAACATTCAGCACAAACTTCCAGGTGCCATGGCAACGATAGGATTTCCAGAAGGTCTCCAGGTACCAAGTAACTGGGTTTACTCATAAGCGGCCGTGACTTAGTAAAACGCAGGGAAAACATAATAACTGGAAAACCAGAGGCGTCAAAAATACTTTCTTGATAAATGAAAAACAATCTATGATAGGTTTTAAAACCAGTGATTGTAAAACAATTGGAGAAAAATTGACCTTTAACGCCACAAGACAGGTCTTTACGTTGTAGGATTTGGCGCTACGGCGAAGGGTCATTTCCAAGCGTGCGCGGTGCGTCATTTTTGGGCTCTTTTACTTCCGGCCGCCGTAGTAGAGGTCGCCTTAGCGATCTGCTTGAAGTCACTATTAATAAAATTAGGAACGGGGAAAAAAACCGGAACTAATTAGTGACGTCCCCATGGTGCTTTCATATCTTTGCAGATTTCAGTGGCCAAAGGAGCACATGACCTTCGCAAACTTGGTGGACCTGTTTTGCAACCGGGATTTATCATGAAGGGCAAGATGAGCGTAATGGGAATAGAAACAACCGGCGCAATTTCACTTAGTCCAAAAGAGGTTTGTCGTCATTAACAATTAATACGCTATTACTTTTTACTCAGAGTCGGGTACTTGAGAAGGCTCCTGATTGCGTTGACGATGACCCATAAAACAATTAAGCGGACGCCAAAACTAGAGTTCATCGCACAAATGCTTATGTTTCTTTTGCTATATATAGCCTGGTCCTATTGTTCATTTTTGACAACAAGTTGTTTGTAGAGGCAACATGTAAGAAGACCCTTAATTTCTGAATATCTCAGTTTCCTTCTTTCAGTTTGAGATCGATGCAAAACTCACTTCAGACAAGACTTCTACAGCCGTCGATGACTTAACATCCCTACTTTTGCCCAGATTAAATCATGAAAGTAGCCGCAAGCTTTGGCTGGAAGCTCGTATGAAACCAGTACCATATGTAAAGGTAAACAGCATTACCGTGCAGCATAATAAATAGTACCATAGGAATTACAGCTGAGTAGCTTTTATTTGAATGGTCACACCATAGGATTTCATGCACAGACTCAAAAGTTAGAACCACCTTGTACAGCATAATAAATAGTACCACAGGAAAGTACTGCTCAGTAGCTTTTATTGAATGGTCACGCTTTAGAATTTCATCCACAGACGCAAAAGTTAGAACCACCTTGTACAGCATTATGATAATAAACAGTACCACAGTACATTTTACAGTACCACAGAAAAGTACATTCGAGTGCTCACACTTTTGGAAAGAGAAATCAGACAGAAAACCTCCGGAAACCGGTTAAAATTACCTGCCAATGAGGTGGCAGTTCTGTTGGCAATTCGGTCTGTAATCATACGAGTGATTAACAAAACGAAATTCTGCAACCAATTAATCATAACTATAACAAAATTTGTGATATTTTTTTAGGCTTTTTTAGATCAAAACACAGGAAATTTTGTTAGTAGTGAAAAAAAAAAGGCTATTTAAGCGCGCGCTTGATGGCGCGTCTGTCCAGTTACTTAGGCATGACACCTACTGTCCTATTACACTGTCCTATTAGTGCTGAAATCAGGACAGCTGATAGCCAATAGGATTTTAAAATTTTGTTATAGTTATGATTTATGGGGTGTTTCAGTGATTTTCCAGCTGTTGTGGCTCGGTAGCCTTGAAAAGAAAGTAGAACAAGCAACAGCAACAATGCTCCATTGTTTGTCTCTTCTAGGCACAAGTAGATGGCTATGCTCGATTGTTTGGCATATTTGAGGAAACACGCATGCTTGTCACCCATGATTCTTTGCAAATCTATCTTACAACTGACGTCAGCAAGTCATTCAGAATCAACGTTAACATCATCACAAACTACAGCTCAAACAGGAACGATACACTATTCAACGCTACGGTTGTTTTTGACAACGGTTTATCCAAGGTAAGATTTCGGATTCTTGGTACCCTTGAGCCAGTCAATCATTCTTTAAGAATTTTCTTCCACTTCGGTGGGACACTTTTTCGCCCGTAACTTTGAAGTTCGTGATTCGGGATTTGAAACCAAAATTGGGAGGAGTTTCGGGATTAAAAGTATGCCCGGGAGGTGGGATTCCAAAAATAACCCTCGAGATTACGGGATTGCACGAAACTTTGGGTCGGGATTACGGGATTAAAGAATCCTATTGGAGACCCTCCCTTAAGGCAAAAGCACCTAAGCTAAATTCAAGGACTTTTTCTTATCGTACTAGAATACTGAAACAAATAGCACCACGCGAAAGTACTTTGCCATAGAGGTATCGTTTGAATGGTCGCACAATTATAACTTCGTTCACAGTTGAGAACGTTAGTAGAGCTACATAGCATACCCTCGTAGTACTCACGCTTCAGGCACTTGGAGTGGGAGGTTAGAAAACGGCTTAAGACCAGGGCACTGTTACCCTCTGACGTGATAGATATTGCCAACGCTGTCGTCCGATCGACTATGTGACTTTTGGCGGAGAACAGTTTTGTTAGATGTCATGTAACCTCGAAATAACCGATAAAGCGTGTTCCCTTGGCGAAAAAATCTCAGCTATTTAACAGCACATACCTCAATTGAGCCATTTTGTTTTACAGTTGACACATTTGGCTGCAAAACAAGTTGTTGCGATGTTGGAACAACAAATGTCGGAGCTGAATTCGGCTAAAGGAGAAGTACAGCGAAAGAGAAGAGAATGCGTACAAACAATAAAACGAGACTGCAGTAGCTGCATGAAAAACGGAGAATGTGCTAGTTCCCTTGAGACCTGTCGCACCAGTGTGGGGAAGAAAACGCCAGCAAACAACCTAGGAGGAAAACGTAACCCTATAGACATCTGCCCACGTTTTGTTATGGACGGTTGCCTGGGATCCGAGGTCGCATGCCATAATGTTTGCAGCTTCCTTAGCTCAAACGCAAACAAGACATGCGCAACTTATAACGCCGCCGCCACATCTCAGAGGAAACTAGAGCGAGGGTTGAAATGGATGAAGCAAGCAGAGCGTTCAATGAATGGGAATTTGTTTCACATCCACGGGATTTCCTTCAAAACAAACGTGTCTTCAGTTGTAGATTTTGAACACTTCATCATGGACACTTCCTTAGAAGTCACCATATTTGGGCAAAGACAAAGACTGGAAGGTTTGCGTATTGGTTTCAACGACTTTGTAAAGTTATCGTCCGAGATCGCAACCCACGCGTGGGACTGGTACCAAACGGCAAAGCCACAGTCCAAATCAAAGTCTCTTCATTCGGATAACCGACCCAGACCTTCATCGAACTAAATGGAGCATTTAATGACACGAAGAACGCGTATTTATAGGAGGAATTAACTTTTCCTTAATGCGGTTATAAAACGTAGCAAAGTACATGCAATGATTTAGATGTAAATTTAGTCGTTTTGCTCAACATTCAAGTTGGGAAAATGTTTTTTCCATCAGAAGCCATAACGAGGGATGGTTCCTTTTTTCGTATTACCATGAGAATGATACAACCGATTTCACTAAAGACTGCTAGTATTGGCTGTATTGCCTATATTTTTCTGGTTAGTCGGGCTCAGAAAAGTATCAGAATTTCTAATTCTTGTTGGACGAGAAAAACAGTTGAGCGCCGTGCTGAGATCAGAGAGGGGAAATAGAAGAATTAGTCTTAACGCTCAGGGATTAACCGCATCAACTTTTGCATCAGGATGTACAAGATAAATGTCCTAGCATTCTTCTCGGACGCCAATAGTTGAGCACGAGAAATGTGGTTGCAAACTTACTCGTTTCGTTTGTAAAATATAAATCTAACCCAGAGAACGTAAAGAATCAGTATACAGATATTTCAACTTTTTAATAATTACAAACGTTCTGAACTAAGAACAATGAAAGGTTAGCCTTGACTATTTCTAAAAGAACTTGTATAATCACTATTAATAAAAGTAAGAACCTGGTGAAAAGACCATTGATATTTAACTGAAACCAAAGATCTTCCTAACGGAAGTCGTGTACGTAGCAACTACGGAATGTGTTGGAACTTGTTTTTTTCTTAACACTAATAAATGTAAAATTAAAACAAGATATGAAATAATGTGATTTTTCTTGACGAGGATGATTAAAATGTATTTTTTTTTAATTATTTTACGAAACTTAACTTAAACATTTTATATTAAACCAACGTGTACAGAAATCAAGTCTGTATGCAAAAAAAAAAAAAAAAAAAAAAAAAAAAAACGGTCAGTTGAATTCTCTAAAGTGTCGACTCGCCTTTTTTGGTCAATCAAACAACTTTGTTTGGCCAATTTTTGCCGTTTTAGGTCCTCTGTCCCTCGCTGACCGCGCCAAGGTCTTAGAGGGTGTGGTTAACTCGCCTGCGTTTTTGGTGCTTTGGAATTTGAACCGTTTAGTTTTAAAACTGTTAGTTTTAGTACGCTTGCCACTGCGGGCTCCTTAACAAACAAAGCAAAAGTTGAAACGTAGGCGAATAAACTAATTCTTTTACGAGCGTGGGCTGAATTAACTGATTCCTGTACACAAATGAAGGTTGTTATGATTAGTTTATAAAACCCGTTCGATCCCAACTTAATCAGTGTCACGAGCAATCCAATTATCAAAAATACATTTCAATCAGTTCACAAAGAGTAAGTTAACACGATTGGTCTCGTTCGTTCTTACAACAGCTACTATGAAGAGAACTACAATACCAACACCAGCGGAAGGAATGGATGCTTTAGATACTTCAGAGACTTTCCAGTAAATACAGTATGATTGGAAAACGCCTGCACATAAGAGGAAAGGCTTTGAGGAATGAAAAGTTTTGCGCGTAGCTCCCTTGCTTCTTTGGCGGCCATGTTAAACTTGCCGTATTTCTTCTGTTCCGAGTAGGCCTCAACATCTAGGACTTGGAGCATTCTCAACCCACCAGTACATAGATCCCAGGAAAATATGAAGCCTGTACACTGCAACACGGGACTTAAAGAAAAGTGTTTGATACTGGTGAAAAAATTAGCTCGCGTAGCAAGTGTTCCAAAGGAAGGGGAAAATCGGATGCACCTCCTTCCCTATATCTCGCGCGCGCCTTCCAACCTCTCGCGCGCCAGCAGAAAATTTCCCTTCAATCCCTTTCCCTGCGTCACATACATTGATCAGGACAATTTTAAACAAATTTTAGGAAGGAGATTCTCTAAGAAAATAAAGAATTTCTCGTGCAAAGTGTTGGGAACTCCCTTAAGCTACCTTACCTGGGTTTCTGAGTCATTCAGACATGAAATTGGCCAGATTTTAACCTGAAAAGCTGCTATTTCTGAAAAATCTGTCCGATTTTCGTAAAACGGTGGAAACCGATGGGGATGCGTTCCTACAGTTGCTGTCACTGTCCAACTCTGAAGTGAAGGTCTGGGTGGGTTGAGGGAACTCATGCTCAAATGAGAGAGAGCTCACAATTGCAGTCTCTTAAAAGCTAATATTTTTACTGATAAAGGTATTTCTTAAATGACATGGTACATGTAGTAATCCTACCTTGGACTGACTGGCAAGCCGCATGATGTAGATTTCTCCCTCGTACGAGTGTACACCAGAATTCTTGCCATAATAACAACGCGGTGACTGTCTGGTAACACGTGTAGTATCTGTACATCATAGTCTTTGAGTGATTTATAGCAATCTCTGAGTCTATCATGCGCTTGGATCAACTCACCGATACACTGTTCCAAGTCAAGTGTCATCTGATGCACAACAAGAGTTTGTCCCTGTAAACAATAGGGAGTTTTAGGAACAACAGCGAAGGCAGCGAAAACTTCACTATTTTAAAGTGTTTGCGTTTTTCCAAACTTTCTCGCAATTATTTCAACTCGATTAAAATCTAAATTGTAGGTTAATTTCCCTGGAATCTAATAATCCGAGCGTGATGCACGCGCAGAGTTGTTGTTGTTGTTTTTTACGTTTTCGTAGTCACCATCATTGCTAAAGCTCCCTAATTACCAGTGTACCAGCTGGTTTAAAACACCAAATAATAAAAAAAAAAAACATTTGTCTCGTCTTGCCTATTGCTGCTCTGTTTGTCTCTCATAAACACTTATAAGTAAAGCTAACACCTCTCCATTTTTTAAGTAGTTTTTAAGGCGTTGCGGTGCTTATTAAGCGCTATGCTTTTTACAAAAATACGTAAAATACCGAGATGTTGATCCACCGCAAGGCATTAAATTATACTCAACAGTCTACAGGTTGCAGAGGTCCAATTTGTTCGTAAATTAGCCATGATACTTACAGTTTGTGTAGCGCTATGAGAATCGCATCCTGTACTACAGGGATTACATTGCGTGTGACGAGAATCAAATAGTGCGCAAAACGTTTGACCCCTCGTGAGAGGGTGGTAACTTACTTTTGAGTGATACGGTAACTTGCTTGGTGCCATTTTGGGGCTGCTTTGGTTGATCTTGCCAATTTGCTTCAGTGTTTTGCCATGACATGTTTTCACTGAAACTGCCAGTGATCCATCATACATGTCAAACTCATCTGATCTATCTGGCAGTTCACCCAGATCACCGTTATCCGGGTCTGCATATACCTTGAGTACTGATAATGTTAAATTGTTGTTTGTTGTCGGTACGACTGCACTACCGCCACAACTGCATGAATCAACCACTTTTGTGCAATAATCTGCATCTAAATTGTAATTGCTTTTACTGTCAATATCTGGAAGGGATGAATCTTTTAAGCTGTCATCATGTACAGCACTTCTTGAGGACACTTCAGTGACTGTGCTACATACAGTCTTTTTTGCTCCAATCTCATCTTTACTACAAAAAGACAGCTCAGAAGTTTGACGCGATCTAAATTTCTCTGTCAGTTCATTAGACTCACTTTGGTTGCTAGACTGGTTTGTTTGACCATCTAATGAGCCATTTGCTTCATCTGAACAAATTTCTGAATGTACTTTAGTATCCTTTTCATCAAATGTTTCTTGAGGAGTCAAAAGATACTCTCTATCATTGACTTGATGTGAATTAACGCACTCACCATGGATTTCATACAGTTCTCTTACAAAACCAAGGACTACCTTCTGCCGGTCAAGTTGTTTCTTTCCAGCATGGATTTCGTTAATGCTGGAGTCGCTATGCACAGTCTTTTCACTGTCAGCTGAAGTTGAATCTTCCCCGAGATGAGCTTGAGCATGATGTGTTCCCCTTATCCCACCACATGCTTGATTGTTATTATCGTTGTCTGCAGCATGACATCTGTCAACTTCTGTGACTGCCGAGTATTGATCTGAAATGACAATACTATCAGGTGCCTTATCACACAACTTGCAAAACAATTCAGTCTGCTGACCACTTTCTGTCACGAGACTGCTGTTTTTGTCAAATGTTGCAGAGACCTTTAATGCCATAAAAAAATCCCCAGTGTTGAAGAGAACTGTATCTTGCATCTTGAGACTTATTGAAGGGTTGAACATAGGAAAAGGTGGCATAAGATCATACTTAAAATGAACCACAAATGAATGTTTCAAACACTTGTCAGTTACTCTGCCAAGTGGTGCATAATTGCAGCCAAGACATGGATGTGGTGAGGGACCAGCACAAACCGTAACATAACACTGGTGACTTTGATCATAGTCATCTTTAACAGAGTGCCTAACATGATGAAAACATGACGAGAAAACCATTAGTGCAATGTGTGTGCAAATGTAGCTCTAGTATAAAAAACAACAACAACCAAAAACAAACATTTACAAACAAATGACAGAAAAGAAAGGGTAGATAACAATAATTATGGGTAGATGAGGCATGCAGTAATCAAAGCTATTGTTTGTGTTCTTTAATCAAGGGTGTATGATACTGGGATGAATATTATTTTGAAACGAGTTCATTCCATCTCCTTAAATTTCACGAAATTTTGTTCCCTTACAATTCATTCTGGTTTTCAAACTGAAAGAACTTCTTGTTCTAGTACAAAATTTCATCCTGGTATCATGAAAACTGAAACTGAACTTAGTTCCACATTAAAAATTGCAAATCATGTAGTCTGGGACAAGTGACAACATCTGGTGTGAAGAAACCTTGAGTTAAGCTAGTTCATTTCTTCATCTGTTGTAGTATGAACTTCACTCTGGAACAAAATTCATTCTGGAACAAAAGTCATTCGGGTATAATATAAACAGCCCCAAAGGCATTGTTATTGTGGATACATACATTTGACCATAGACCACAAATGTTGATTCATCTTGGCTCTCAGCAACTATTAAATGAAGGTCTTGATGTATTTCCTCTTTATCAAATAATGTCACAGAAAAAACCTTGGAAAGAGCAAATTAATAGCAGTCAACAAATGACTTTAGTTCATTTAGAAAAGTGATATTAATAAGCCTAAAAGCATCATTAAAAAATTGCATACATAAAGCTGTAGTAAGTACATTACAGATTACCTTTGATTCTAGGTTAAAATTTATTTGTTAACCCTTAAAGTCCCATAGCGACCAAGATCAATTATTTTCTCCTAACAATATCCATACATTGTCAACAGATAAGTTATGAGAATTAATAAAATTATCACCCAAGTAAAAATGCCTTGATCCTTTATCAAATTCTCTCAACTCATTCTTTAAGGAAATGTATGGAGATCAGTTTGGAGAATTTGTATGTGAATACTGGGGCTTAAAGGGTTAACCTGGGTCCAGGAGAAAATGGGAATTGAGAATCACCCCAGGTTCTTAAGCTGGATCAAATTTGACCTGTAAAATCTCAAAGTCATAAATAATGTTGAGAAAATGTGAAAACTGAGAATGAAATAATAATATTAATATCAACAATCATAGACAAGGGAGCAAGGATAAAATGTATAATGATGATGGGGGAAAAGTATGGACAGACTACTTAATCTCTAATTAGAGCAAAATCACAATAAGACTATTTTCTGACTTGCCAATTATTCTTAGGCTTTCAGCTTTGCAACAATTTTTTAAGACTGGAGACTTCCTTACAGTCAAAGCAGGTCAAGCGTACCCCCCAATATTCTATTAATGAATTGATTATTTGAAAAATGATCTGTTAGTCGTTCCCGGAACTAGTTTCCAATTCCAATCGGAATTCCTGCGTGCATAATGAGCAGTGAATATTTTACGAGAACTTCTCTGTATTTGGTCAGATTGAAAATCTTTGAATGGATTAAAATTCTAAGAAGCCATTTACATCAAATTCAGGTAAACTGAGCTGGTAGAAATTTCGTAACTGAATCGCGTGTAAATTCACTGCTCATGATGCTTGCATGAATGCAGAGATGAATCTGAAATCTGCAACTGCCAACGGACTCAACTTTTGAATAATAAATTCATTAATGGAATTTTGGGGAGTACGCTTGACCTAGCTTGACTGCAAATAATATGAGAAGGTGGTTTACCTCAACTAAAGGCTTGTGTTGATTAAACTCCCACCAATGAAGTGAATACACATAACAAAGAAGAGGACTACTGTCATCGTTATCAATTTTCAAAGAATAGGATATTAGGTATCTGCCATTCTTGGTAAAGCCAAGAATAACGTGCCTATAAAGTAAAAATCAGTATCAAAGTCAAGAAATACGAGCACAGCATCATTTTTGTTCATTCCTCTGTATTTCAATGCAGCTCTTTAGCTTGTATGTTTTATTTTTTCAGTGGAGGTCATGTGATAACACTCTTGAGAACTATTTCTTTCAGATAAATAATTTGGTCTTATTGACATGCATATGTACCCATTATATATGAAAAGACAAAGACAAACATACAAGCTACAGAAGTCTATTATATGTGGTGGAATAAAAAATTTATACATTTGAAAGGTTGAGGGTGAGCTTTACTGAATATAAGTTTAACTATCGATTGTTATTGAAAATCGATACCAATCGATAACCACACGAATCTTCATCATCGATTGGTCATCAGTTATCAATATCAATCAATTAATTGATATCTAATGGTATTGATTGATATCGATTGTCATCGACTATCGATTTCATCGATTGGATACCCTGGGACAGATAAGAAACCGTGGACCATGAAGATTTAATTAATACACAAGCCTTTAATTCAATCGTGTGTCCATTCTTCCGGTTCAGACGTTCAAAGTTAACAACAAAACATAGCTTTTCTTATGATATAAGTAAATAATATAGCTACCCTTTCTTTATAGCGCCATTTAGGTCCAGTATATTCGCCAGTGGAATACAAAACCTCTGAGGATATTTCTTGAAGAAGCGTTGTCGATTACCGCGCAAATGCGGTTGCATATTCCCTCTTGTCTACCAAAAAGGAAATATAATGGGTCATTTATCGAAATGAAAGAGTATGATGTTCAACAACGAGAACTTACTTCTCTCAAGGCGAGTTTTGTTATCAAATTATCTTTCGTTTTCTTCATACTTTTTGATGTTGTTAAAAAGCCCGCGTATAGCGAGTGAGCCCGCAGACAGTAGAAACATCGTAAATTTTAAAAAATATGCGCGGCGATCACTTAAGTGTCCTCAGAGTACACTTCTTTTTTTCCTTCTATTTTGATCCTTTTCTGCAATGCCTCCTCCATCGGCTGAGTCCAAAGAGGATGATTTGTATGAGAGAATCGAAAGCTTTGTTTCTTTCCTCAAGCAAGGGTGAGTGGCGCCTACAAAACTTATTCTTGAGTATTTTCTCGAGAGATGCAAAAAAGGGCCAGTGTTACAGCTGGTGTTATGGTGTAATGTTTTATCCCAGAAAATTGTAATTATTTAGTCTAGGAATGCTAAAACGTGACCCCATGTATTTACGTATTGAAACAATGAGCCATGCTATTTAGAGTTGAAATTACGAGAAAAGTTTTGTTGGCAAAGGAATATTATTTTTGAATTTTGGCCTTTTTCCCTTTATTTTAGAGAGCTTCACGGGTCATATGCTATAGCAACACAGACATTGCAGTTGTTGCGAAGAATTGTTTCACAGACACGCTGGAGCACTGCAGGGTAATTCATTGTACAGCTACATTTGTATTTGAAAGTTGTGTCCGGGTGTTATATGCACCTATTAATGTCTAATACATGTGTACCCATGGGATAGGGGGGTTGGGACCACAGGCTTTTAAAAGGTGGGGACGTCCCAGACCGTAAAGGGTGTAGCCAATCCCTCCTTCACAGATACCTCTTTATGTCGTAGGAAGGCTGGGGAGATGCGCATCTGCAGAGTATGGCAGAACTCAACGAGGTCTCCCGCTTGCAAGGTCGTTTTTAGGCCCTTATTTCTTATGTATTATTAAAAACTCACGCATGCACCTGCCATACTCTGCAGACTGGGGGAGATGGAAAAAGAAGGATTTTCATTGGGATACCCTGTGGGAGCCTATGCAGAGGAGAGAGACATAGACAAAAGTAAGACCAATTTTGGCAACCTTCAAACAAGCTGTTGGCCCCAGGGTGGGGAAGTTTGGATAAACCTGAAAACTGAAACAAATTAATGTCAATTCAAGAGTGTACCTTGCTTCAGGTACTTGTTATGCCGAAAGCTCTGCATCTCTGCACTTTTACTGACCATGCTGTGCTTTTTGGTTGTCCAAGACAGAATATAAATCATAGCTTAGAGAAGTTAAAGGTGATTTACTTAAAGCATTTTTCTGTTTATGCAAGAATTAACTATCAATTTAAGACAAGTGAAATGAAAAATTAGAGAAGTTGTGGAGCAAACAGTTCAAGCCTTAAAGTCCTGTTAGAATGGACTGGGAATGTGCATTTTTGTACAATCTGTGAAATAATATTACACTCCTGGTACAGACAGGTAGTCCTTGAAAAGTCTGTAAAGAATGGTTGCAATTTTTTGTATGAACCCTGCGTAAGTCACATAGCTTAACTTTTTATGTTTTGGGGTCATTCTATTCAATCACCCTCCCTACCTGGTTGGGTCTTTGGACCCCCACCCCCCTCGTTAAAAAGGGAACCAATCTCCTAACCCACAGAAGATTATTCTTTTTTTGTCCTCATATGAGATATATTATTGCTTTTTTTTCCCCAGGGAACTCATGCAGTGTGTGAGAACAGAAGGAAAGAAAATGGCAAGTGCACAGCCAACAGGTAATAAATTATTTTCACTGATTTTGCTTAGTTTTTTTTCATTCTGCTCTCTGCTTCACTTTATCACTCAGCATCCGTTTTTGGGCTATACATATGCTATTACTAAAATTGTGATATTTTAATTATCTGTTATGATTTTTATACCTAGTACCACTGTATTCTGTTTTAACTGAAGGTACATCGTAAACTCTCATTTTTTAGATTCTGTTGTTGGAAATATGGTGCGGAGAGGTAAGTACCAGTAACCAGGAAATGTTTGACAAAAAGAAAAAAAATGGTGTCAAGACTCTTGTAATTACCATAATTATTATAATAGGTGTTTCTTGGTGTCATGGGAACTAATGTTGGTTAGCTATTGTTTAGTGGGGTTGGTATATATTGTCCACTGTCTTTTCAGTCTTTTTTTGTTCCATAATATTATTTTGGTGATGGTACCCATCCACAACACCAACTGAAGAAACTACAGTGTACATTGCTGAATATTAATTATTTTTGTTGCTAATAACTTTTATAACAAAAATGGCTAACTTGAGTAATCCATGAATTTGTATTATTTATTGCTGTTAGCTGTTGTTTACTGTACATTTCATTGTGGCTTTGCATGTACTGTATCAAGAATAGTCATGTCTGGATGCCATTTTCTACATGTAATTGCTCTCATTATATTTTCTTTCTGTAAAGCTCTGAAGATTATCAGAGAGGAATATGCTGGGTAAGAGATTATTACAAAGTACAAAAAATGCTTTTTATTAAAATTCATCCACTGTACATTATATTTTCATCTGATTCGTTAAATTATAAGCAAAATGGAACTAAAGAAAACATTGTATTTCAGGTCTGTTAGTGGGAAAACTGAAGAGGGAGAAACTGAAGAATCTTTACATGTAAGTTTTCAGACCAATGCATATCATAAAAAATGACACTCAATCATTATATTTTCTCCAGAAGAGTACACTCAACACAGAGTACATGCATGTACGTTGTACCCTTCTTACAGTATTATTTGCAGTCATGATAAGAAAATAGTGGAAGGGCCGGGTCTCTCTTTGGGAAAAATAAATATGCGGTAAAGCCACTTTCATTGACAGTAATTAATTTTGTTGTGGCTCATGATTTAATGGCTCTTGGTTCAGTGAAGTAGCTTCCTTGTTTAGTTATCAGAGTGTACTTTCCTTTTCAGAAACTCCTGATGGCTGGAGGACCTTCCACTAGTGATTTTAATAAACCAACTCATGGACTAAAGGTATTATTGTTATGGTGTGCCGTTTACAATGTATGTGAAGATTTTTAGATATTTAACAGAGTGTTTTCGTTGCAGGCCACAGTTATTGATGCACTAAATGAACTTTTAACAGAACTGGAATCAAGGTGTGACATTTTATGTATTTTGGTGCACAAGTTATGTGCAATTTTTCTTTGTCTTAGTGAAGGTATAGCTGTAGTGTTGAGTTTTGGTACCAATACGTTAACAGGAAAAAAAAGAAAAGTCATTGAAAGGATAGAACAATGGTATAAATTAATTGTACAGTACAGACACTCAACCCAGGACACTTGAGAGAAGATTGTATTATTACATCACAAAAGATTCTCAAGTTTTTTTTGCAAACAAACCAATAACATTCATGAATTTGAGGGCTGTTTCCTGAGAGGTCAGGTAAGTTCAAAGGGTTTTATAGTGTTCAATGGTTGCATAGTTGAATACCTGAATTTTATTGGTCCCGTTGCAAAAAGAAAAAAAAACGTGAGAGTCTTTTGTTTTCAGCAAATGTTGCGAGTTGACAATCTTCTTCCAAATGTGCCAGTTTAAGTGTCCTCCTTGTAAAAAAACTGCCTGCTCCACATTGCCATTTTATGTGTAGGGATTTAAATGGGATCATTGACATAATGTTTGGTTGGCCCAGGACGGATTTCACCACAGACTTACAGGGCACTTCAGTGACAGCCATACCCTGCATTTGTTTTGTAATGATTTTGCTGTTTCCCCTTTTTAGTGCCTATAACATTGCCACCCAAGCACTGGAACATATTCATTCTAACGAGGTTATAATGACCATCGGCAAATCAAGAACTGTGGAAGAGTTTCTCAAGGTGTGCAGTGAATAATATTAAATGTAATATGATAAAGTCAGAAACTGAGAATTCAGGAAGTACAGTGTACATTGTATGTTGGTTTATTACCCTTTGGTCAATGCACATTTCATGTATTTGGTACACTGTAGATGTACCTGTTATGATTTCTAAGGTGACTTTATCTTCTTTTTTTCCTTTCTTCCTTTTTCTTTTTCTTTCTTTTTACTTTTTTTTTTTTCAAGAATGCTGCAAGGAAGCGTAAATTTAGTGTCATTGTGGCAGAAGGAGCTCCATTTTACAAGGTTTGGAACTATAAAAATGTTTAAGCGTAACTGCATGCATGGAGTTGTTCCACCTAGACTGACTTATAGTAAGATAATTCTCCTTTTAACTTTTGAATTTAAAGTATTACCATTCTAGTTAAACCTCCTTGACAGAACTTTTGCGTAGTAGTACATTGTATTTTTTTGTCCTCAGGATTTTATTAGAAGAAAATAATTTAAAATTATTTTCTTGTTGGTGAATTTTCAAGTCAGCCACTGCTAGAACTAGGAGTAAAAGTGTTAATAGTAAGAGTCTTTATTCACAAAGAATAGAGTCACAACTTATGTGTGGCTTTACAAAATATGGTTGTATTAACTAGTTATTAAAAATCAAATCAATTAGACAAATTGAAAGACATCAATTAATAAAAGGTCTTTTAAAACGTTCCATTTTGACTGCTGGTAAAGTAAAAGTATGCCCTCAATCTCGCAAAGATCTCTGTCTTCCTGAGGGCAGCAGCTGCAATGGAGATGCAATAAGCACTAGATTCCCATCACTCTTCTATTTATGGTCCCCTCAATGTGTACCCTAACTCAGTTTCTGCCTTTCTTTTTTAGGGTCAAGACCTTGCTAAGAGTTTAGCCCAGCAAGGGATTGAAACCACTCTCATAACTGATTCAGCAGTGTTTGCAATCATGTCAAGAGTAAATAAGGTAAATTATTGCTAAATTAGAGATACAGCTAGTCTTTGAGATCTACAGTCGAACCTCGTGGAGGTACAATGTAGTACTGAACGCTGTTACAGTGTAGGTGCTCCTGCTTCATGCTACAGAAACCAGTTTGACCTCTGGTCGTGTGGAATTCCATGTAGACATATGCCTTTATCTTGTCACAAGCATGGTATGAGGAAAATAATGTTTTTTTGTTATTGTTGTTGTTTGCTGTAGGTTATTATTGGTACAAATGCTGTGATGGCAGATGGAGGGTAGGTTATTGATATATTGCCCACAAAAAGACGAGAAAATAGTAATAAATGAATAGAGCATACTTGTGAGACAACGAAAGAAGTAACAAACTAAAAATGGAAGTGGTGATATCTGTGGAGAGGGTACCCGGAGAAAAACCTCTCGGAACAAAGAAGAGAACCATCAACCAAGTCAACCCACTTACTTGTGTGGCATCGACACGCTTTACGGTCATTTCGCTCCCAAGTCATTTCGCCCCGTTTACTTAGCCCCCTATGTGTTTAGAACAAGGACTATAACATTTGAAGCGCGCTTGTTTCGCTTTATGGCTATAGAACGAGGAATATTTTGAAGCGCGCTTGTTTTGCTTTATGGCTTATAGAACGAGGAATATTACGTTTGAAGCGCTCTAAATGACTCAAAAATACGGGGTTTTAACCGGGGCGAAATGACATAAACCAAGGCCTCTTTGTGGGATGTGGACGAGTGCTCTCTTCACTGCACCCCTGTTGTCCGGTCCCCCTAACTCTTGTGCTTTTCTGACCCTTTGATCCCTTCCTCTTACGTGATTACTCCCTCAGATTGCGGTCAATTGTTGGTTCACACGCTTTAGCATTGGCTGCTAAACACCACTCAGTACCGGTAAGTCCGGCTATAAAGCAAGTACAATTGTACACTGTAATTAACCTGAATATTTGTCCTTTAGTTTTCTCTTGGTATTTTCAATGGTTCGAGACTGATGCGAGAGCTCTACCTGCAGGCAAACAAATACACGCACAGGCTGTAAAATGAACGAGACGTAACGCTATTGGCCAAGCGTAAGGTCAAGATAACTGTGTTACCGAACAGAGCGTTGGGTATAAGTCAATAGTATACGTCTGATTTGATATCCTTCACCGAATTTAAAGCTACCTTTCCTAGTGAAATAGTTCCGCTGCGTACTGTGAAGTATAATTTTGCTTGATATGCAGCGCCATTAATTTTTGGACATTGAATACATCTTGTCCTGGAACCTGGTTTTGTCTAACTATTCATTAATCGATCAATCTGTCAGAAGGACTAATTGCCGTGATTACTATACTTACGACTGTTATTTATAAGTTAATACTAAGAATCAACTGATGTCCTATGGACAAGAGTTTTTACAGTACTTTTCCTAACAGTATACATTGTAAATGATACAGGCCGGCGAACATGTACATCATGCACGAGGACGAGTATTTCACAGATCTTCCAGCACCAAGTCCTGAAATTGTAACGACTTTTTTTCCCCTTGTTTTCCCCAGTTGATCGTGTGTGCCGCTATGTACAAACTTACTCCGCAGTATATTGTGTCTTACGATCAGGTAAAAGTCATTACATTTTTGCCGACATACATAACAAGCTGCATGTGAGTATACTAAGGCTAAGAGCATTGTTCTTCTGTTTACCACTGTAACAAGATTTCTAATATTTATATATACAAATTAAGACGAAGTCGAAGTTTCATCTCATTATTAATTCATGTTGTAGGACAGTTGCAACAAGTTCGTTGTTCCACATGATGTTGTGAATTTCTCTGAAGGTAAGACACGAGTTGAACCCTTTTAGGCCTTAATGTCAGCATGCATATTCTCCTTACTGTTCTCCTTGCATTTCTTGTGCTACGGACGATGGAAGGTTGCTTGAAGACCAAACCCTGTTCAAGTCGTAGAAAAACCTCGTTTCTCTCACGACCTTGCGAACACTGTTACTTCAACACGAAATTACAGTTTAAATGTTGCCATTTGAGCATTTCTCTTACAGGAGGAATCCTATCCAAGATAGATGTCCATAATCCTGTGTTTGACTACATCCCTCCAGATTTAGTGAATCTCTGCATTTCAAACATGTGAGTATGTTTTGTAGGTGTCGCTTCTTCCCACCGTACAGGCAAAAATTTTAATTTCAGTGGGACTGGCCCTTTGTTCACCCTATTCCCCTCTGGAGGGCCTGCCTATGGGCTAACCACGCACTATGCCCTAGCCCCACTCATATCTCCTCACCTTTTTTCGCCTCCTTTTCACAGATATCTAAATCGGCTCTGCTACTAGCAGCCCAATAATAATGCGCTGCTGCGATCGATTTAAACGAGCTGCGTTAGCAACAGAGCGCATGCCTCGAAAGACACCCTTTCTTTTGGCCATTCAACAGCCATGATAACTCAGTCAACTCAATTTAAGGAAGGCTAAAGCGATCTGAGAAGTAACCGTTCTTGGCTCACTCACTGTTAACAGCTAAGTCTAGTTCGATTGTGTTTTCTTAATTTCCAGTGGAGGCTATTCACCTTCGTACGTTTACCGGCTTGTAAGTGAATTATACCACGCAGATGACTACTATTTATAATAAAGTAAGTATTGATTTACCAGCCACCTACCCCTCCCGTAGGTCACAATTTTGCCCTGTGTAAGAAGTCAGTGTTAATGTTGACTTATTATCCGACTTATTTTGACGTTTGTTCATTTTTTTTCTCGTCGTCAGCCTGATGGGAGGTTTTAGTAATTATTTTTCATATTGCAAAAATAAACATCGTAATTACGTAGACCGCATAAACCTTTGGTTTTTCTTGCAGATCGCAAAAAAAAAAGAAATTATTCTCGTTCAATCTTCGACTTCCATTTCTTGTTCAAGTATCACCACTCATTGAATGATGCCGATGACATGCTCAATGACACACCCTACGTTTTGACATCATCCTAAAAGATGACAGACTGTATGAACCACTGGAGAGAGGCTGCTGGACTACTGCTCCGTTCGCCGCCGGCTTCGTATGAGATGCATACATACATACATACATTCTAATTGCTACGCAAATCTAGGCGGGCCATGTTTTCAAGAAATAAATATAACTTATAGTGACTAGTGACCTAATAAACCTAAAACTGACATTGGTCAGGAAACGAAAGAGGTATCGTTTAAGAGAAGATAATCTAGCCTCACGATTGCGGGAACGCGGAGCGCTAGCAGAAGCGTCCGTTTGTAACGTTGTCGCGAGATAGCAAAAGATATTCATTGCTCAGTTGAAATGATAACGGTTAAACAAGGAAACATGCGCAATATCATCTTCCTTTAGAACATACTGTATTGTCCACAATGCACCTCGTTTATCCGCCAAAATTTTACATTAACATTGTTTCCAAATTTCTCCTGGGTATTAAAGTCGTCCCAAGAGAAATCGAAAAATTTTGGGGGGCGGGGGGGCGGGGGTGGGCGGGTAAACAAAGTGCGTCATGGTCTCGGTGAAAAAAGTGAATAACTGTGATCTATTTTTATATTTTTGTAAATTATTTGACCCCAGTGTACAGAGTGAGTCCAAGTTTGTCCGGTTCTTGTTGGCATGACTGCGGCTTCGTACAGCATGCGTCATAAGACTTGTCTGTGAAATAGAAAAAAGCGATTAGAATTAAAGAGCCTACCGCCTTTTCTTTCGTTCTTCCTCCGAGCTCGTGTGACGTAAGATTGCGAAACCGCTGATTGGAAGTAAACTTAGATGACTAATGAGCAGCTTATTCATTCCTCGACTAACTCGCACGCTGGACATTTGTTCGCTTATGAGATTATTCTTTTCCCTCGACAAATAGCCAAATTTTGTCATTCGCTTGCGTTAAGGAATCGAGGTAAGGTTATAGTCAGGGTTTGAAAAATGCTAAAGAAGGAAGAACATTTAAACTAATACCGTGGGAGGGATAATGCTTACCATGATGGAGTAACAGTTTTTTGATGACCTTTCTCGTTCAAAAGTCGCATTTTTTTTTTGGCTCGTTATCTGAACAAACTGTAAGAGCTTTTCAGTTGCCATTAGCGGTAACCGTTGAAAATTTTAAGAGAAAAAATAGTGTTAAAGTCGACATCAAAATTTAATTAACTAGAAAACGCGTAATGTCAAAAGTAACATTTGCTGTGTCCGAAGCTCACTAGACTCGTACCGTATTATATTGCGTTTGCAGGGACAAACTATTCAAGTGTTCATGATTATTTAGAACTACATAGCCCTAACTGGCCAGAATAGCGCACGTTGTGTATGGACTAGTGGTGAGTTTACGCAACAGGACGGCAGAAAGAAGAGGACGGCAAATCGCTTGTGCGTGACGAACGTGACAAGGCTATAACTTGCGTATTTTGTCGTGATCTTGACTAACATCAATGTTTTCTGGTCTTTTACAAAAAGATCTGTTTAAAATAAAGTGAAGTTTGGCAAAAAGTTATTTCAAGCAAAATTATTGTCACGCTTGTCACTCAAGGTTTGCCGTCTTCTTTCCTCTCCCGTCCTGTTGCGTAAGTTCACTATTTTGAAGGGATGTGAACTTAATAGCCCATGATTCGCAATGTTTAAGACAGCGGTTAATTAGAATAACAAAATTGAAATTATTCTGAAATACCTTTGGGTAGTGGTCTTATCTAACATTGCACAATGAAATTGTATGATTTTAATTTCTGTTTTTCTTTCTTTTAAATGTACGTACATCATGAATCCTTAGTTTGTAACATCTGTGATTTGAGTTCCGTCGCTCCATCCGCATTGCTTCATGAAAGGACAAAGTCCCAGTTATTATGAACCCTTAAACCCATCACTTGTAGAAGAGAATATCTTTATGGGTGTGCGAAGAGGTAAAAACTGATTTCTCTTCAAGCTTTCAACTTTTTACAGTTAAAACAGCTCACCTTCGGACCACCATTTTCTTTCTACACAACTAGAAAAAAGGATTTGAAATTTTTTTTTCGAAGACACGTCTCGTGAATCCCGGCATTTATCTAAACTGAAAAATTGCCATGTTTGTTGAAAATCTGATAGGTGTACTGACAGAAAACTCAGATGAAAATGGAAAAAAAAAATCATACGGTATACTATAATTGTGATACCCTATGTAATGAGTATTGATAACTTTCCGCGGAGAAAAAAAATGAATTGAAATAAATGTTTCTAATTCCACAGATTTTTTTAATGAAAAGAAGACTTCTATACGTACGCATGTGACATGTTCACTTGGTCTACAAACACAATACAACCTGGTTGTCCAGGAAATATCCAGGCGCACGTTGTTTAACCTCTTGGTTTGCGAGATATTTTGGCTTAATTGACAAGCGAACGGCCAGGAAGTACTACCAATTGCTTTTTGCTTGCGTAGTCACAGTACAGTCTCCCTAAAGGATTTCCTCCTATTGGTTGAACGCTCTGGATCACTCTTCACGTCATAATAACAAGTATCATCTGAAGTTGCTGGTAGTTACATACTTTTTCTTCATGAGCAATTCAGCGAACCACACTCGACTGGTGGCCGCGACATTGAGACCGGAAAGACAGGAGCTGCAAGTTAACCACGTGATATGTATCACTGTCGCGGTTACAGCTTTTCTAGCAAATTCCATGTTGTGTTTAATTCATGCTTGTTGCAAAAGGGTGCAGAGGAATGGCAATATTTTCCTCATTACTCATTTTACAGCCAATACTGTGCAAACATTAGCAAGCATGATGTGTTTCGCTTTTCCCAACATTGGTGATTACTTGGTCTTTGTACTTAATATAGCGTTTTGCCTGTCAATTTTGTCTGTTCCTGTAATAACACTTGTCACTTTGACCAAGACATTGTGCGTCACTCGATACACGGCTTTTATTTCAGGAAAGCTGCCTCTCCTCCTGTTAACACTATTGGTATTTTTAACATTGGGTGTGGCGGTACCCCCTTTTGTGGGATTGGGGTCACCCGTGTTATTCTTCGAACACTCGGAAAACGCCTCTGTATCTTACACAGTATCAACTGCACTCATCTTGAGTGTGATCCCGTTATTAATAATCAGTACGTCAAACTACAGACTATTCAAACGTGTACGAAGCTACGAACTGAGTTCAAGAAAGGAGATTGTGCCTCAACTTCATCGAGGAAGAATTGCGCTGCAGTTTGATATACGAAGACGAGAGGACGAAGCGAAATGGATTATGCTACTTCAAGTCGTTGCGTTTTTCGTTTGCCTAATTCCAATCGCAGGGGAAAATATTGTGTCGTCTTTTCTGCCACGAATAATGCCAGCAGTGGTGGAACACATATTCAACTGTCTTGCACAAGCGTATTGTCTGTTTTCGCCACTCCTGTACGGTTTCTCTAACAGGGAAGTTCGTCAAGCGTTTAAGTTTCGCTGTACTCAGAAAAAGTTTGTGCTTCAAGGTTCCCGATTAGAGAGACGCAAGCAAAGAGTTCCTTTGGGTGTAGGTCGTTATTTATCAGATAGAAACGACGGCCGTTTTGTTGTTCCGCGACTAGAACAATCGTGTGACGCACTGGAACTCAATTGCGCAGGACCTGAAAGATTGGTGCGTTTTACAGGGGTGTCACTTTTATCCGTGGATTACTCGGTGGATGCTAACGACTCGCGACCGCAAAAACCGGTGAACCGAGGGAAAAGACCAATAACGACAGAAGTTTCCCCTCTAAGGAGACATTCTACACTGAGAAGAAATCAAGAAGGTCCTTCTACAAGACAGGTTGAAGATAGAGTGAAAGTCAGATTTGACAGTGAATACAGTGATAGACAGCGAAAAAAGTACATTGCTACTCCTTCCATAAAGCGCATGCGTCAGATTAAGAGGTGCATGTCAGACATTTCTTTAGATGATCTCCAAACCAGTGTAACTGGATCGGAATTTGAGTCGCAACAGCACATGATGCCTCACTATACAAACTATAGCGACCCCATGCGGTCTGCCGGGTTCAGACAGGTTCTGACTAAGAGAGGTAAAACAAAGCGCGCATGCTCTCTTTACAGGGACAGAAAGCACAAACCTAAAACGAAGAACTTCATGGAAAGACGGTGCAGCATTGAGGCTGACTATGCCATAAAGAACAAATGCTGCCAGCACGGTAACAATACGGTCAACCCTCTTTAAAACGGAGATATGACTGGGATGGGTACCAAGGCGTTTTTGCCTCGAAGGGACTGTGTAGATTTTGTTACATTTTGCTAATTACAGTGGAACCTCGATATAACGAAGGGTCAAGTGACTGGCATATTTTGTTGGCCATAACAAGGTTTCGTTATATCGAGGTTGTTTTTCATATATTTTGCTATTACTGAGGTAAAGAAAATCGTTGGTTATACCGAGGACTTCGTTATGTAGAGGTTCGTTAAATTGAGGTTCCACTTTACTCGCTAAGAAACTAAGCATGAGCAAAGGAATTACTTCTAAATGACCAAATCCACTAGCTTCATGATAAACATTTGTATCTCTAAATATCCTCAAGTTTCGTCCATCTGTGCCTTCTTTCTTAGTCGCTGTGTTGTTTAACTGCTGCTTTACTCTTTTTATTGATTTTCATATTTCGTCTCAGTTCGTAATGGCTGAATTTAGCTAAAGTTCGTGACACAGTTCCTTTGAAGATGATAACTGAAGAACGGTACGGCGGACATAAGACGATGTCCGTCTTATAATGGCGTTCTCAGGGGAGAATTGACTGTTCTAGTTACCAATGCGATTTTCCGTCAGTGAAACATTGTACTGGTTCGTTTTGGTTGCCTTTCCTAAAACTGAACAGTGATATGAAATCTCAACATCCAAGTTTCGTAAACCCCACGATGGTAGCCTCTTATTAATCTAGAAGCAAGCTATCAGCTGTCAGTTGCCATATTTATTTATGAATCATTTAACAAGAGTTTTATTTAATAATCAAACAGTGTAAACTTTACACTTCAGGTTAACTTCCTTCATAACGTCGTTCTATAGACTCATTCTTGATGACCATTTACATCAGTTGTTAGATTAAAATAATGCCTTCCTCCTTTAGTCATGATAACATGAGTAATTAGAGTTTTACGGAAAGTTAACAAGCACGTGCTTCCTCAGTAATCTTGAATTCCGCCAAATCCTCACGTGGAGTGATATGAAAATTATTTACTTGGACCCTACAAGCGTGTGCGTACTGTCCCGTCATTTTACGGTAGAACCGTTGTCGGAAGAAGCTATTGATTGGCTAAAAAAATGTGGTTCCTTTTTCTACCAATCATAGATAAAAACAAAAGCCAATCTTGGCTTGCGTGCGCGGCTTTTTCCGCCTTTGACGCGGACTCCATTTTCTGTCCGTTGGTCTTCATTGGTTTTTAGTGCCAGTCTCTGCACTGTCTGGTTTTACAACACTCAACTGAATGTTGACGTAACTAAACGATAATTTTCTTGAGTTATACCACAATTGTGTACTCCCTAATATGGGGTAATGTCGACTGGAATGAAGGCAATTTAGTCCCAACAAGAAAAAAAAGACATTTCCAGTGATGTTGTGTCAAATGAAACAGTGGACTATAGGTGCATCAATGTTGCTCAGATTTTAAGAGCTCGTTAAAGGATATAGGGTAGAATACCGATTTCCTCGACTCCTCGGTTTCTCTGATCTACTTCTTAATTGGAATCGAAACTGACTTCCCTTAGCTAATGGAAGAGGGTCCCCAATAGCGTTCTTCAATCCCGTGATCCCGACCCGAAATGTCGAGCAATCTCGTAATCCCGATTGTTATTGCTCGCATCCCGCCTCGCGTGCATAAGCTCAATCCCGAATCTCATCTTGATGATTTTGCCATGAAATCCCAAATCCCGAGCTTCAAATAAGGGAAATCAGGATCTCGAAAAACCCAATGGGGACCCTAATAAAACATTGTAATTTTAGCCCCGAGTTTTGATCGCCCCGTGTAAGGTATTCCAAGACAGTCTTGGAGTCTGGATTCCACGCTGTGGACTCAGGATTCCTTGAGCTGTATTCCGAATTCGAAAGTCCAGGATTCGGATTCCACAGGGTGAAATTTTCCGATTCTGAGGGTCAGTTTCAGGACTCGGAAATCCAGATTACCTTATATTGGGCAAATTCGAAGCAATCCTTTTCCTATGGAGGAGCGAGAAATAGATATTTCACTATCGTATTACACTGAATCTTTTACATTTTAGTTGACTATTTTCTAGAGTCATTTGACCCAGTCCATATGATGGACGTGTAAGGCTTGCGTAGCATTTCTTTTTTCCAAGAAAACTGCATCCTTAGTCGTTTAATGAACATTGTAAAGGTGGAATAATATGACCCTACAAAGTGGTCTGCATGAGCGCAAATGAATTGTTCACAGAGCCCCAACAGGTCTTGGACAAAGGCACTGTTTACATTTTCAAGTTGCAGGGCTTCATTAACGTCCTCAGCGAAGAACAAATTGTACCCCTCGTCTCTAAAGGGATCGAACCAAGTTTTGTTTCTCTCATCCGTTGCGATGTAGAGTGTCTTTGTAAGGTTTAGTGCCTCCCGCTGCTTTAATTTCCACAACCAGTAGTCTTGCTTTACTAGAGCACTTGATGGGTGGTCCGTTCTTCTCACGTGAATGGCATTATATGGGCGTTCGAGTATTTCTAACACGTTCGCGACTTTTTTCCTTATATTTGGCGCGAAACGAATAAATCGCATAATCCACTCATGCGCGTTCAGCACGGTTTCCCTCTCAAAGAATAGCAATTCTCTGCTATATAAGGATCCTTCGGCAAAATATAGCAGATCTTCAGTTCGATAGAACAGTTCGTCCATAATACCCCACACGGGTCTTTCGATAGAGGCGTTGGCTTGGTATTGTTTTAATTCCTGATTGCAAATGCGGCGATAAAGGGGGATGTCCTTGTATGAGGCTGATGACTTCCTCATATGTCGTCGAAGAATTCTCCACCTCTTGTCATCAGTCTTCTTTGGTATAGCATCAATCCAAGTTCCAAACAGCCCATTGTGGCAAATTCGAGCCCATTTTAAGTTTTTGTATAGGTTTTTGAACTCGTTATGACTAGCAGTGATTTCTTTTATGGGAATTAGTTTCGAGAGCAGTTTCAGATCGATAACTCTGGATAATGGCAGTAGTTGATCTTTAGTTAGCATATTATATATTTCATAACCAGCTGATATTCTTCGAGTTCGTTTGAGTCGAAGAATTTCCTGATGTGGCGCCAGAGGGTGGACAATGAGTGTTCTATTGAGCAACTTTGCTAAGACAACAGCATTTTCAAAGGCAACTCGTTGGTTATTCCATCCCCCGCCAGGCGGTTGATAAGACAGGTATTTAAACGAATGGTCGTTTTGACAGACCAGCCTCCCGTTAATGTAAACAGTTTGTTCTTCCGAACAAGGCTGTATTTCGTCTTTGGATTTAGTCCATTTTAAAGAAGATTTATGACGAAATTTCACGACGATCATGGTTAGAGAAATCAAGCAAACAGTGATGAAACCTAGCAGCACCTTTCTCCTCAACATCATAATTCGAATTGCTTTTAAGAAAAACTTTAGCTTCCATATTGAAGCCAAACATAAGTTTGTAATCCATGCGATGAAATACCTGTCTGAATTTTTTTGGAGCCAATGAGTCCAGTCGCGGTTCACGGGTAAGGGCAAATATTGAGGCCGCTTTGCCCTTCGTTCCATTGCATTTCAAGTGAACCGTGGTTGTAGAGAGTTTGAAGCGGAAAATAGCAATTCATCCATGACCTCATTGCGCTGACCTCTCGCGCCTTTCCACTTCAGCGGTTCTAGGTCATCGATTTCAGTGGCCAGTTGCCGCCCACATTGTGATGAACACAAACTGTTCTTTTTTTTACGGATAAACGTTAGCACGTTTTCACACCAGTGTGATATTTTTTTTAAATCTATCTGACATTTATTTAGCTAAAAGCATACTAAGCGCTCACATGCTTGACAGAACCGTGTGTTTTTATTTTAAGCCTATTTGCGCAGGTGTCCTAAACAGGTACCTTTCACTTCAACTCACTGGTTCTGGCGGTAGACAAATCTAAAACAAAATGAGAGTGTTTCTTGAATAGTTATGTTTAGACACACAAATACTGAAAATCTAGCCTCGACATTTTCCTTGTTTTCGTCTTGAGCATGTCTCTCCACCACCATCGCTCATTGCTTAACTGAGCGTCAAAGGGACACGAGCAGCGTTGATGACTATAGCCTAATTCATTAATTACTTGCAGTCGCGGCCAGTTGGCAAGAAATGAATTATAAGATGGAGTTCCTCTTTCTTTCTATTTGAACAGCTTAGGTCGGTTAATGACCATGGTTATTAGTCTCTCGGATGTTCATGTTCCTGCAAAATTGTACATAATCAGACAAAACGCTCACAGGCAACCTCATTATAACCTAAAGAAGCACAATGTTTAGCGTTCTTAGAAATCCAAGTGCCAAGGTTTTGCTCTAGCCATTGTGCGCGTCTTCATTCGTTAAGGTTTGTTAAACTGTACTTGATTTGCCTTCACGTAAATCCTTCCTTCCGTAAATCAGATTCGGCCAACCTCGTCGCCAGGGCTTAACGCACCCATTTTCTTAGAAAAAGTCCTGGAACGAGACGGAGATTCGTGAAGAGCTTCAGGTCCAGAAAAACAGTTGATATGAAGAACTTTTGAACGATTCAAGTAATAATTCTCAGAATAAAAGCAGAACAATTTTGCGTGAAAAAAACTGTTCTAGTGATCTTAAAATCCGCATGGGATGTTATTTTAGCAAACGTCAAATTTTTGTGTTTTGTGTGTTCTTCACGAGACTATTGTGTCTTTCGTCAACCAGTTTTTTTCTTTCTTTCTTCTTCTTCTTTTTTTTTTTTTTTTTCTTAACCAGACGTCTACGTCAATTTGTTTACCCAGACGATACAGAAGACAAAATATGCAGTTTGATCTTTTTTTACGTCCCCCGTTGCGGCCAGTTTTGCACAGCGCGAACGTAGGTCAATTTTCTGGAAATAGACAGTTATTTCTCTCCTATGAGATGTAGATGACGAAAACCTTGCTTGCTCCGCTTTATGGGCTCCTGCCTTTCGTAAACTGTAACAAATAAGATACGGACACTTGTATTTGCATGACAGCTGTACAGTGCAACCGATCGCAAGGAATGAATTTTAAATCAGCCTGAATGAGTTTCGTCCGATTATAGGAAGTTGAGATTCAACGCGTCCATTACTAACTACTCTCCGAATACCAGAATCATTTTCACGTTGCCCAAAAGCTAACACCAAGCCCAATCTGGAAGTCAGCGCGAACCGCTTACGCGAGAGCTCCGCTCGTAGGCTTATCATATGTTAGGGTCTCTCTATCTGAGATACAGACACAGCGGGTTATATTTATTACGTCACCAAGGTAAACAGCTCGAAAGGTCTTGATATGATCTCATAGTCAAATAACATGAGAGACCGCGGTGCAAGGAAATGGTTTTTTGCGCCTCCCTCAATCTCTGTTTTGCTCTTTTTGTCTTGTTTTTCACCATTATAATCACCCTCGGTTGCTGTTCGTGTTGGTTCGATTATTATTCGATGACTGTTGTGGAACGAAGCAAGGAAAACGACAACTGGTAAGCAATTGCACGAAGAATTGATATTTTTTCAAACTCAAGTAAAAGAGCCGACGTTTTCATCAACAGAGTGGAACTAACAATATTTTCGTCTTTGTCTCGACAGCCAAATTCAAATAGAAGACGATAACGTTAAAGCTATATCCAAGTGATTAAACAGATTGAAAAACCTGAGGGAGAGTTTTCAGCAGGTAAGGCCCAATGATTTTATGTCAAAAGAAATAGCGACTATTTGTTTAAAGATGATATTCAACAGGTAGCTTGGTAACTGATACCATGATGATATTCCACTCACACTAGCTTGAGAAATTTACTTTACCATGGATTTTCTGTCAATTATCCAAAATATCATGGTCATTGTATATAGATGTGCTCCTGTGAGCGGTTGAGTGAATTAAAATGACTTTTGAAATACCGCACCTGTCATGGCGTTGATGGAGAAAAAATGACACGGTTTGAAACCTGCTACCTCAAGGAACAAAATCTACATTGTATTTAATAATACGGTAGCTGATTTTAAATGGCACGATCTAAAAAACTGTCTTACAGTGAACTTTATGACCAAACGGCGCAATGTTCTATATTGCTAAACTACGGTGAAGGATTATTTGAGAGAGGTGTATAACCAAACGGCGCAAAAACATGTTTTTCGATCCCCTTAATTGCACTTTCTGGTCTTGCTAACCTTTCTCTGCTCAAAAATTAGAGATCGTAGCTGCAATAAAAAAGAAACAAACAAACGCTTTTGCAGCAACCCAGGGCAGTCTCATCTCTCGTGAGTCCCAATTCCTCTAGTCAGAGATCGCGCATTCATCGCAATTTTTTGCACCCTGAAATTTTTTTTATACACATCAAGCATGGACATTGTTTTGAACCAACAGTTGCCTTTGGTTGAGTTAAACAAAACTTATCAGCGATTACGGCGTTGTTGGCAAAGAGACCTGGACAACGTTGACATGGCGTTAACGTAGCACATAGGTGGCCATAGCATCGATAGAAATAATGACAGTCTCCCGTTTCTAACCGTCACTAAGTGATTTCAACAAGGCCAAAATGTTTTACACAATCAAGTAACGATAAGATTTCCAAATTCCAAATTTTGCTCTTTGCGGTCGGTAAGATGGGTCGCGTGATTCAGACGACTGTCAAAGGTGTAACCGCTTACAAGTCCTAGACGACGACCGGCAATTATGTGGGTTAGCGATCTAGTCGAGTCTTAAGTTGGTTGGTAAAAAAAGGGGGTTTTTGGGTTTCTTTTGCCAGTGAATTAACCTCTCAGGAAATGCGGTATATTACCACCATATAAAAATTTATGTTGCTCATTGAACGTTTTGCGGTTCTGTGTATGGTGCAGGCTTGTCTTCCCATATATTTTGTCTTCCGTTAGAATAATTAGGCGCGCCCATTTTTGGAACGGTCAACTTTCATTAAGCGTTTTTCTGCTGATTTGGTGTTTATTTTCGGAAAGTGGGTGACCTGTGCATCTGCTCCATTGAGACTGTTCGCTTGACACAAAGTGAGTAAATGAAAATTTATTTTCCGTAATTGGGTTACCTGTGCATCTGCTCCATCGAGACTGTTTGCTTGACGCATTAAAGTGAGTAAATTGGAAACATTTGGCGAAATAATGACCCTTTTTATACTCTTTGTAATATTAGCATAATTGAGGGCGCACCAGAAAGTGTATGAGCCAGTTCTGTGAACCAGTGTAGGGGCTATAATCTTATAGCCTGTTCTTTGTTTCCTGGTTTTGAATACTCTGACGACAGACGAACAACTAAGCTATATCTGTCTTATAATATTCAAGACGAGGAGAAGTCTTGCCCTTTAATTCTAGAAGCTGCCAACGTTAGCATTAGCGGAAAAGCCTGAATTTCATTTTGTTAAAACCTGAGGAATAAATTGCACCAAGTGAAAGTACTTCTTCGTAGGTTGCATCAAAAAGTGACAAAATTGAATTTCATCCACAGACTCAAGAGTTAGCAACGATGCACCTTATACGTAAAGGACAATACATAGTACTACAGGAAAGTACTGCTCAGTTTGGTTGAGTAGGTAACATCATGGTATTTCAAGCACAGACTCAAAAATTGAACTTCATACCAAATTAACAGTACCAATTGAAATAACTGCTCGGTAACTTTCTTGGTCACTTCACAGGATTTCGCCAGTGGCTGAAAGGTTTGAACCACTTTCCATCTTGCAAGCCAAAAGGGCTACACATTGTTTAGTGTTTTTCATAAGCAAATAGAAAGATGATATTTGCCGTATTGAAACTAACACTCCTGTTCCGCCCTCTAATTTACCTGTTCATAGAGGAGGCCTTATTAAGTTAACAATTGCTTTCAAGAAAATAATTGTTCCTGCAAAGGTTATTTATCGCATCATTTCCAAAGGTGGAAACAGTGTGACCACCTATAAATACATTAACGCCACCTGCTGGAACACAACACGCTTCTCCGTTCACCCAAAGTGAACTAGTGAAACCAGTTGGTTGAAGAAAAGCGCACACGAACAATGAGATTCGATGATTTAAAAGGGCTGGCAAATTATTCCCGAAAATGACAAGAAAAGGTTTGTGCATGCAATATAAGCTGTCCTCTCTACTAATTTTTGTCATTCTAGTAAATATTTTGGCTTGCAATGCCTGCGTTTTGATAGATAATCGGTCAGTTACCCCTCATTTAAGTCTATCTTTTAGGGTAGATAAATTCTTATATTCACTGGCTGATTGTTGCCTATAGCATAACATGCGAGCCACGGCTTCAAAACGACGGTTGGTTTAACTTCTTTGTAATTGTCTACTTAATATGTAGATTAAAATAATCGAGTGTGATCATTGAAACGAAAATCAATTACGTATTTTCAGATCTTCAAAATAAATTTTGAAGTTCCTCTGCACTTGAAGTGAAGTGTAATCTTATTAATGTTAACAAAAATAGCCAGTGGACTTGTATATTTTTTATTTAATTTATATTTAGGTATGTTTCACCTCTTCTTATAAGCCACGTTTAGTGACCGGTGAAACATTTAAGCGTCAAACTTATCTGCCCGTGTTTAAAGGTGTTAAAGGCTTTAACAACTGAGTTCCTTTGCTCTCTTGAAATCTTTGGTCCAACCCGAACAGGCAATGAATTTGGAACGAAAGACCTCCTTGCATCATCAGGGTTGACTATAAATACCAAGCTGTGATCTTTTTGTAGAATATAACAAAACAATAATACTGACAATTAAAAAAAACAACAACGACGACAATTCATTTGATATCTACCAATATAGTAATTAACTTTTTACTCATGGGTTTAACGCATGAAAAATTGCTTACGTATAAAACTGAGTGGTTGGATTTGCATTGTTGCTACATTGTACACTTGTTTCAAGAACTTGACAGTCTTGCATTTTTTTTCTTGGTTCGTTAGTTCGTTCCTTTTCGCTTTCTCAGTCACAAATATACGCAAACAACCCAAGAAACCATGGATTCACATGTAATGCAGGGCACTCATAGGACACTATTTACCAGTTGTAGCTATCGCTTAGTGCCAACGGGCAAAGATTTTACCTATACGCGCGCTGTTCAATTTGTTTAGAAATGTCATGAATTTCCGTTATTTACGACAATGTAAGCTGCAGGTTAGTTATGTGTCCGTCATGCATTTACCGTCATGGAACGCACTTATGCATTATGCTATGCACATGTTCGCTCGAAAACAATGCTTTGTCTACGTCTGTTCTGCATTATGTCATAAAAGTTACCCTACACTACCTCATGTTACATCGCTTTGAGATTCATTCTGGCTTGGAACTTTCGCGCACGACCTTATTCAGTGCTGCCACCTGGCAGCCCTGCGTCTTCGCGAGGCTGTTCGTTGGCGATATTTTTAGGGTCGGAAAGTATTTCATTAGCAGCCATTGTGATGCGGTCTCTTTTGTCTCTTGCAGATTTGTACGATTCTTGGAGGACAGATTCTGCGCGTAAGCTTATTAACCACGAGAAGCAGAATCACTGGAGAGTCCTACCTAGGCGATCGGCCCTGCTGTTCCTTCTGTTTGCGTTTTCTATTTCAAAACCTTTCACGCATGCCCATCATTGGATTCCCAAAAAGCACGAGATGAACCACAATGTCCGAGTGGGACCACCACACATTGTAAAACGACAACCATTTTCACAGAAAATGCGATTTGAAGTTGTATACGATGACAGCATCGGCGACTTGGACGAGTCGAAGTACGGTTTAATTACGGGGAAATTGATCCCCGAGGCGGTAGATTACTTCCACCAAGCGTTTAGCGTCAAGCCAACCAATCTGCCGATAAAACTGCAAAGAACGTGCAAAAATAACGCTTATTTTTTGAAGGATATTAAAGGTAAATCCGCTGGCGATGTGCAGTTTTGTAAGATGGATTGTGTAAACACGCAATGCGGACCTGTCAGCGTACCATCTGACCATTTGGATCAGTGTCGGGTGTGTGATAACGATGGTGTTAAATGTTTCTCTGTTCCGGGGGAGGAGTGGGAAGCTGGTATGGGCGTTGAATCACGTGATTTCATATTGTACGTTTCTTGCATCCAAACAGATCACTGCAATACGGCCAATACTGTGGCTTATGCATCGTACTGCCAACAGGAGCATGCGCTGGACAGACCTGTTGCTGGGTTTGCAAACATCTGCCCAAATCGTCTCGATACCGATCCAAGACATTACCCGAACTTGTTATCCACCGTAAAACACGAAATCTTTCACGCTCTAGGATTTAGCGCTGGACTCTTTGCCTTTTACAGGAACGAGAATGGCGTTCCCTATACGCCAAGAGAAAAGCATGGACTGCCGCCGTATAATGACAAGTATGGCTTATATCAGTGGAGTTCCAAGATCGTGCAAAAGATGGAACGAAAACAATGGGCAACACGACATGGCGATATATCTCATCAAGTCCACATGATTGTCACACCCCGAGTAAGAAGGGAAGTTAGAAGGCATTTTAACTGTCCAAACCTCGAAGGTGCAGAGATCGAGAACCAGGGTGGTTTGGGAACTGAGTACACACACTGGGAAAAGCGGTTGTTTGAAAATGAAGCTATGACCGGGACTTACACGCAGAATCCTGTATTCTCTAGAATTACCTTTGCTCTTATGGAGGACACGGGGTGGTACAAGGCAAACTACAGCTTGGCGGACGAACTAGATTGGGGAAAAGGGCTCGGGTGTCTCTTTACCAAAAGTAGCTGCAAAACGTGGATGGAAACACACTTGCGAAATAGAAAATCCGCTGTACCCTTCTGCTACACGATCAAGAAAAGCCCCTTACGCATGCGCTGCACGCACAGCAAACTGTCTGTGGCTCTTTGTAACCTTCGTAAGTACAACAGAGCATTACCTGAGGAATACCAATACTTCAATCATCTGCCAATAAGCGAAACGGGCGTAGATCACGATGTCCAACAAGATTTGGTTATTCGGGATACTGCATCGTATGGGGGTGCGGTGCCGCTGTCGGATTACTGTCCGTTTTATCAGAAGTTTACCTTAACAGGTACGGACGGTACAAAGAGAGAAACAACCTGCACAATGGCGGAAAACGCACCCGCCTTGATTGACAACTACGCTTTGGAGTCATACGGTCCTGAGACCAAGTGCGTGGAGCAAGGGCGCCAGTGGATGGCGAAAAAAGGCCTTTTGACGCGAACAATGGTTGACTGGGGTAGTGGCTGCTACAAGTATCACTGCGATGGGGCATTACAGGTGGAAGTAGGAGGAGAGTTGTACACTTGTCATCGTAAAGGGCAACAGTTGGAAATTTCCGGATCAATAAACGAATGGAAAATTAATGGCTCATTGATCTGTCCATCGTGTGAGGAGTTTTGTGGCGCGCAAAACGGTTGTCCTCAGAAGGTTAAAAGCTCTTCAGCTGGAATCGTGTTTGTTGAACACAAGCCAAGAAATGATGCGTGTAGATTTAGAAAGACCTCTGAGGAACTTTTATATTTTGTCTTTTCCAGAATGATTCTCAGCATTAGCTTTATGATCTGTTTTGTGCCTGGTTTTCAATCTGTTTTTTATTGAAATTGACCAACTTTTGATATAAATTACGAGGATCGGAGATGAATTCACACTGAGTTGGTCAATAGGCAATTTGCTTTCCCAAGCAAGAAGCAAAGGATTTTAGAGCTAACCCTGTACGTTTTTTTAAAAAAATGAGTTTAGGTATGTTGCCCAGAACTACGAAGCTTTGTAAATTACCCACAGGTCAAATTCACCAGCAGGCAGTATAGACTTGCAAACATAAAGTAGCAAAATTTAACATTAATTGAAGGAATTTTATAATAAATATAAAATACATGTTGGAAATATTCATTTCTTTGGATCTAAGTGCAATCTTTTTTACAAAACGTTAATGTGCGCATGACTACGTTATCTCTTTAAACGTGTGCCACGTATTAAACTGAACAGTTCTTTTACTACAACATTAATTTAAAAAAATCCGAAAAGCAAATTGCCGCGTTGAAGTGACACGAACAGTGTATATTAAATTTTTAACAAAGCGGAAGGTTGGTCGATAACATGAATGCTACTTGTGGTTTTGTTTTCGTTTCTACTCTTTTTGCGTTTATTTTAATTTTTAAATAGCCCCGAAAAAATTCGTGGTGTTGAAACTGTCGATCGTCTGTCTATTAGAGAAGTAACATTAAAATGCATAGAGGGTATTACTAGGGCTCCTCCGATGGAGTTTCGGCTGCGAAAGGCGCGATTTATTATGCAACGACAGGAACGATGATCTTTTCACGTGTTTTATGGTTTCGCGCAAAATCTCAATTGGCATTCCATTGGTCTTTATATAACAAAAGAGGTTTTAGAATGTAATTCCTTTGAGTACAGCCTCAAACAAGGCTTTTTAAGGTCCTTGATGGTAAATACTGAGAAGCTTAGTCTTACGAGCTTGGAATGCATTGTTCAGGAAATTTAATTACAGGGTTTATAAAAATTATATTATGTCAGTAAATGGACGTCCTGATCCACCAGATTGGATTTCATTATTCCAGGAAAGTAAGACCTGGGATAACGTACTTTAAAAAAATTCTATAAAAAAAAACATTAATTGGTGTCGCTGAAATGTTGCCGTATAGATTTTACAAAAATTCGCAAGGTTTAGTTGTTTTGGCAGGGACTTTTACAGTTATCGACGTTCAGATTGTAACAGGGCGCTTTCTGGTCAACCTGATGTGAAGAGGACTATACTGTGTATTGACCTGATTGTCCAAAGTCCCCCGTTTTAAGAACGTAACATGAAATTTCTATAAAAGCAAATGTATTAATCTCCGAGTAAACAAGTAAGTTCCGTTTTAAAAAAGATAAAACAAGACAAAACTAACTGACACGTAGCCTCGAACAATCGCTCAATAGAGGAAAACAGAGTTTATGTTTCTCTGTCCCTTGCAAAAATTTACAAACTGTGCAAGATATGTAGTTTGCCTTGGAAGTTTGAAAACCCAGTCCTGTGATATTGAAGGAAGTTTTAAAGTGGTGCATTCTTTTGATAGTGTGCAAGGCCCATCGTACTGTTACATGGTCGACAAATAAACTATCTTTTGTCTTGGCTTCGTGGATTCGTCCTCGTCGAATGAGGTATGGATCAGATGGTCCTGCATAAAGTCTTGCGTACTTACAAATCATCAATCCTAATAAGTCCGTGACGTCGTATCTCACCAACGAGCTAACGCCTGAAGGAATAAGGCTCTTTGTGAAATGTATTTCGTAGCCTTTACTTCTCAACGGCTCAAAAGATGTTAGATTATCCATGTGGGTTATAACATACAAAACTTTGGTCAACTCACGGAATTTCATTTTTTCCATTTCTCGGAGTCTGACGTAAATGGTTTTGTTGAGATTTGCTTCTTCATCCTCCTTGGAAATAAGAAGGGCATTAAACGGCATTTTAACGCTTTCTATCATCCTTTGGATCTTTGTTTGAAGATATGGGGTAAAGCGGATGTAATCAAGGGCCCACTTCTGTGCATGCGTAACTCGTTGCTTGGAGAGGAACCGAATGTCACTAGTGGCGATGGACCCCTCCTGGAAGTAAATAATGTCTTCTTCTACCACGCCTAACTCAGAGATAATTCCTCGAATAAAGGGAATTGGTTTGTGAGGCTGAGTCTGCATTTGTAGTGCATAATCACAAACGGGTTGTACTGTAGGAACATTGAGGAAAAGAGGAAAGAAATCTTGAAATTCAAGAACTTTCCAAGCCTCGTGATTGTTAGCAGCAGGTATAAAATCAACCCAGAAACCCGTGGAGTCTCTGTTACAAACCTCATACCGGGTCATGTTTTTGTAATTGCTCAAAAACTGTTGATACGTTCCGCCGACATCACGAACCCTCACCAGCTTTGACAAATGATTAAAATCAACCACCGACGAAATTGGAACAGTGAATTTTTTATCCAGAAGCTCATAAACTTTCGAGTCCGGTTGCAGAGTTTTTCGCACAAATCTCCTCAGTCGCTTGAGCTCAAGTTCACTTGCCAACGCTCGGGCGAGAAGAGTCCTGTTTAACAGCTTTGATATTATGACGGCGTTTTCGAAGGCCTGAAGTTGTTTACTCCAACTGCCAATAGGTGGTTCGTATGAAAGATATTTTTCTTCGCTATAAGCCGTTGAAAAAGAAAAGCCATCGTCAGCGAAGTCACTCGAGAGGATGATTTCTGAAACCTTGTCTTTGTTTGTGCGAAAAATTGCACGTCGCCGAAACATGGCCGCCGGGCGGTAAACCAAGGTTAGTGACACCAAAATTAAAACCATGACAGCAACACCATCTAAAAGTTTTTTCAAGGATGACAATGAACACCCGGTAAACACGATAGCAACACAACATTTTTCTGCAGCGGTACTTGTTCTGGGCATGTCTTCTTGCGGGCAGCATTCATTGTTTTTCGGCCCCGATAAATGAAAAACCAAAACAGTTTTTCAAATCAGAAGGCGGTCTTCGAGAGTCTTTGCTAATTTGATCATATCTCGTAAGATTCTTGTCAACAGTATTAGAAGAGGTGTCAATTAATTTTTGAGGGTCAACAAAACTTGACGTCAGTGACTTTGTGAAAGTGGCCGCGGTGAGTTCTGATTGGTTCGCTTTTGACGGAGGAAAGTGACCAACGGGTTCGATTGATTGAACCAGCAAATAACCTGCTGTTGAATTTAACCCTCCCGTTTAGATAGAAATTTTCCATTAATTGTCAAATAAACATTTGTCATAGTGGCCAATTATAAACCGTGAGATAATTCTGTTCTACGCATGCTCTGCGACGAAATATTGCATCGGCAGGAATTTTACAATGAAGGAAGGACGACCAATTGTTATTATAAAAGCTATGATTTATAGGTTTTCATCGTTAATTATTTACCATGTTATAGGTTTTGTTTTGGAAGTTAAAGTGGGAAACCCTTAGCCCGGGACCAGGCTCCACAGTTCAGGAAACCCTGAAATTGGCGATCAAAGTGTGGTTCTGCCCGGAACCAACCGCCTTTTGTACAGCAGTATCCGTTAATTGTTTTACTTAAGTGTTAGAAAATGAAAATGAATCTTGCTTTCTCTATGATTCAGAAATACTTTATTGATTATTTGGTCAATTTTACAGATTTGATAAAAATAAATATAAAGCAAGAAATCAGTAAAGCTACTGTCTATTTGATATCATAAATCTCTTTATCGACCAGTGTGACCTGCAATAAAACAACGACATCAGTTTAAATAATTTTGATTAGCTGTTAAAAGAGACAAATTGAAGTTGACTCGAAATAATGCTATTGACGCATTACGCTGCAAACTTCTCCTGAGATCTTGAGCCAATAGGCTTGTCCAACGATACTTTGGATAAGCGCATAACATTTAAGGCGTCAGCTCAGACCATCAACGTGTTTTGTGAAATTTTTGCTTGTAGAATCCGGAGTCCGGGAAGTTTTTGCTTATGGAATCTGCAATCTAAGCTTTGGAACTGCTGAATTCAGCTTAAGTGATCCGGAATCCCGCTAACGATTGGAATCTGGAAGCCAAGTTCCACTGACAAGTAATCCGGAATTCAGTACCTGGAATGCGATCCGGAATCCACGGCATTACTAACACCAGTGTAAGAATGTCAAACTAGTGGATTGATTCAAAACATCTTACGTATTTTAATTCAGAATGATATCATTTATTACCTGAGACGTTTTGCGTAAAACTAGTTTCATGACTTGCATACGTCAGTGCACAGTTTCATTTTTGGGTCAGGTTTTGGCACGGGGCATTTGTCCTCTTGTACTGGTTGATTGGATGCGGTGAAGATGCAGTGCACCAACGGCATGGATGCTAAGTCTGAAAATTGTAAATCATGGGTTTAATCAGCTAACACGAAATGACAAACATCTATCCTTTAAAGAAGAAAGAAAAACATCGGAAGTATGTTGCTCATCATTTTCGCGGTGTTATATAAATTTCGGCAAATGTTATTGCAACGTGAGGAATTCGACCTTAGGCACGATACAGTCAGAAAAAGACTCCATAGACGGGTATTGGGTGCATGGTGGAGGCCAGTAGTGCTGGTCAGGGATTCCTCTTGAACAATTTTAGGATCAACGTGTTTTGATAGAAAAATATTAAGATTAACTTTCCTTCTTCAGGCTCTGTGTAAACCGTTCAGTTGTGACGTTCGTAGGATATGCACTTTTAAGGGTGGGAAGGACGCCTTTGCGAAAGACACCTGTCGGTTTAACTGCAGACCTCTTTACCGACCCTTCATTTGACCAACAGCCTTGAGAAGCTGTTTCACATTTTAACCTTGTTTTCCTCCTTGGTATTGCACCTTAAGAACCCTGCAACACTTCGCCAGCTTGCGCGGCCTCCTCCCACATTTTTCACTCAAAATAGTATTGGATATCAGACGTAACTTATTTTCTCTTACTTGTAAATGCATAGACATAGTTGTTTCTCTCCATTCCGACTCCTTCCCAGCACCCTATTTTATTAAGGCCGTCTTTGTCGTACGTCTTATAGCTTGACGCTCCAGACCAGCATTCCCCGTAAAACTGAACTCCAAACACAGTGTAGTTCTTGGCCCAAGCGTCCTTAGCGCATTTCATCACTGTTTCTGTCATATGGTACCAGTTGATGTTGTTTCGATGATTTCCGATCATCTCTGGAAGAGGCCTTATTCCGTTGTGCTTGTCTTTGAAGCAACCGATGGGAACATAACTGAAATTCGTCCCTGAAAAGCAAATGATACACATGTGATTCTCGGCGTACATTCGGCCTGGAACAAAGCCGTCTTATCACCTGTGAAAGCCAAACTACACATAATACAGGGGCACCCAACGAGGATATAGTTCAAAACCACTTAACATGGCATTGTTGAACGTATTTTAGTATTTAAACGGTAGATATAGGCATATTTTTATCCCCTAAAAACTTTTCATCTGTTCGGATTTCCTAGCTGAAAGTCTAGTGATCCGAAAATTATAGGGATCAAAACTTTCCTTTTCGAAAATTTCAGCCAGGAAAAGGCTCCCGAAAATTCTAGGTGGCCTTTTTTAGGGTAAATATCCGATTAAAATGGGTAATTATACCGTTTTGTAGATGTTCGAAAATCCTAGGAGAGGCAGGCAAGCAAGAAATTTTACAACAAATGTTCCGAAAATTCTAGTTCTCAAATCGTCTTCCGAACAGATATTTTACCGAAAATTGCCGTTGGGTGCCCCTGATAATACGATGTAGCACAAACATAATGTTAATGAAATTACCTCCACAACTGAGGCACGGATACTCGACTCTCCATTTAAAACAAGCGATTGAGTTACATGTCATTCTTGTGGGTGGTTTCTTGCTTCTAACATTACATTGGTCATCTGGTACGTTACTCCATGTTCCGTTGGCAAACGTTTGTCGACACTCCACTTGACGAGTTGTATTACCACCACCACAGGGTACTGAACACTACAGAGGTTAGAAATAATATATAGGTTTAGAAAAGGCTAAAAGCGAAGCTCTCTTTAATAAATTCATAATTTACTTCAAACAATATGTCGTCTGATTCTGGTCCGCGGATACACTGACTTGACAGCTTTCAATTGACCACAATTAACATGGATGAGCGATGGTTGCAGGCTTCCACAGTAGCTAAAAAGTGTGAGATTTCACATTGGTTGTCCTGTGGTGCGGACGGACGGACGAACGGACTTACGTCACGTGACTCTCAAAATTTCTCTGATGGATAGATTACCAAATTGTCTTAGCAATGAGGCTCCGCTATAGGTGTACTTAACCTTTACCTGCGGTTGCTCAACTTATGCTGATACTGATTTTGGATACTTTTAAAATCATCGCATTATCTAAAAATCTAAGCTGCAGTCTTGACCAACTGAAATGCACATATTAGTAGAGAACGGCTAGTCTTAGAAAACAGCAGTCAGCAAAACCTACAGACCTAAAAATTTTAATGACGTCACGTTTCCCTTTTTGATATCCTACACTTCGAATGCGTTCATAGACGTGGCGGCGATTCCATTTTCGCGGGAAAAATTGCCCTAAAATGTGTCTAAAAATAAACCGGTCCGTAAAAAAGCCGTGACATAGGCCTAGTATGGGAGTTGCTCGCTCCAGGTTATGGGCTGCTGAAAACAGTCAACATTTCGCGATGCCACCGCTGATTTTCCAGCGAAATGACGTTTGAAGAACGAACGCTGAATTTCCATGCTGATGACGCGTCACTACCCTGATCTTCTGATTGGTTGAAGGAAATTTGCAACCAATTCACAGAGAAAACAGTGGTGGCTTCGCGACGTGTCTGTTTACTCAAGACAAACGTACTTATTGGGAGGATGAGTTAACAACCCATTTCCGTGTCCCCTAGAGCCTCTATATCAAAACGAGGGTATTATAAGTGCTCAGCCATTGATATGGAAAGGATTTTTCATTCCCATGCAAAGAAAACTCTTTTTCACAATAAAAGTTGTGCACTTGGCCTCATTTTGAAAGTGAGGGTTTTTGGAACTCATATGCGGCCTAATTCTTTCTGCCTCAAGCTAAATACCTATAATGATATTCTTCTGGAGAAAAATCTTGATTGTAGCTAAAGTAATCAAACTACAATTAACACAACACTTTACGACTAGAAACGTTTTGAGGCCAAAAAGAAATTGCGAAAGTTGTGCCTAGCCTCTCTCCCTTTCCGGCCCGTTACAAACCTGAGTCCACTCTCCGACTGTCCATTCTGGCAAGCAATCTTTGTTTCCACACCCCTGTGTCCCGGCAGGCCTTGGTAGGTTTGCGCATTCTGACTCAGGCAGAACCCGTGTGACGTCCTTAGAGACAACTTGTGCGCATGTCAAGTTTCTATGCTGCTGGCCACCTCCACACTGCTTTGAACATGGGCTCCAGACACCAAGCTGAAATCTGAGGATACGCATGAATCTAAATATTGGATTTTATCAAATTTAACTGTTTTACTGAGAAAAAGGTGTAGAAAAACGAATCTCTTAATTGTACATTCAATTGAAATATGAAAAAATGTGGTGAAAATCCGATACATTGTCAATACCATTCATTAGTATATTTTATGGCAGTTACCTCTAAGTAAGCGCCATTATATTATAGAGTAAAGTGGCAAGCAAAGCAAGAGCTTACTCTTTGGGACATGGCGCCATATTACACGGTAAAGATTCCTTTGGCTTCACGCTTTTGTCGCAGTAAATTGGAGTTACTTGGGTATCGTCATCTTGACGATGACAGGTGACCTTGATTAGTTGATTTCCTGACAAATTGAAAAATACAATAATAATTTTAAAATACTGTCAAAGAATACTAAAACAGTAAATCTTTCGATATTATGTGGAAGTGAAGTGAGCGCCATCTTAATTTTCTGTCAAGTACAAAATAGGTTAACGGCATTCAAAAGTAACCAACAGGGACGAAGGTTGTTGGAGATCGGTAAATGAAAACGTTACTTGCATTAAACCAAAAAAAGTAACCTACATTCCACCACATTAATGTCTAAAAAACTAAGGGGTGTTACGTGAATGTTAAAGAACGGAAAATACTCAGGCAAGTTAAGGCATAGGTTGAAAGGCTTAAAAGACCCCCCACAGAGAATGCAAAGATCTTTTTTAATGACGCAGAAGGATCCAAATAAAAGGGTTCCACAAAGATATCATAAGATATATCTCACTAAAATAGTTGTGGAAAACTCATCCCAAGCATCACGTGACATTCCTTGGATCATGACGTCGCAAAACCTGTTTTCTCAAACGGGGCAAGGTTGTTAAACCTCAGCCTAAAAAATACTTGTCATCAAATTGTCAGCCAAACTGTCTAGAATGTCAATTAGCCTTGCAAGGTGGATTAACGCATTTTTATTAAGAGTTATTAAAGTCTTTTATAAGTCACGTGACCTGTTTTTATCTATTTCGTAATCCTTGCTCCACTTTGGCATACATGCAGGGCTATTTCATAATATCCAGGCCATGGGAAAAATACTGGTGCCTAAAAATTTTGCTGCTCTTTCATTTCCTTTCCCCCGTTTTGATTTGAACATTTTGACCGTTAACGATCATTTGAAGGTCACGTGACTAACATTTCAACAATGAATTTGTCACATATTGTTAAGGCCATCGAGCTGAAACTGTTTGCTAAGTTTCATGACGACTGATCAAAACAATCCATTTCAAATACCACTTCGCCAAATTATGCAAATTAAGAGGTGACCCATGCCTTAACATGCCTGAGTGGAAAAACAAAGTGAACAGTGATCGGTCTTATTCAAAGCGCTCCATGGTCTTTGGGGAAGAACTGGTTAATTATTATTCGATTAACTTTATTTGGTTCATTAAACTAGCGATCTTGTGTTCTTTCTCCTTCTCTTACAAAATTTAAAGCTCAGAAAAACAGTATAAAGTAAATTGGCGAAATTTCTTCCAAATGCTGATTCATTTCTCACCTCCTGCACACGTTGCACTACAGCTGCCTTCATTCCTCTGCTTCCAAACAAAGGTCGTTCTTGGTCCATTTCCCGGAATATAGTAACTATATTCAATGCCTGGGTTGCGGTGGTGTCCAGAATAGACAAACTAAAAGAAACAAAAACCTCTTTTACCGAGAGGACAGTAGAGTACTGCGGTAGGCCCACAACCTAAACTATCAAAACAGTCCACCGCTGTCAACGTTCCCTATATTCTATTAACAAGTTTCTCATTTCATTTATTTTTGTCACTATATTGGACGGCTACGCTAGTCTGTGAAATAGTCAACGTAAATATAATCCTGAAAAAGAATGAGAGACCTGATCGAGAAAGAGACGCAAATTATCCACATTATACTACTTTGACTGCCTACATTGACTCGGTTGATAGTCAAATGCATGTGGGCTTGTATCCATGGCTATTCAATTCACCATGAGCTGACATAGCAATTCCTTTAACTAGAATTAAACATGCTGTTAGTGATTTCAACGAAGCCATACTTAAACCGCCTTTTAGAAGTGGGTAATTAAACAATGCCTTTTTCAGTGTGCACAGTAAACAATGTCTTTGCGTTTTGATGACGCGGTAGGTGAAATTTAGCATCGCTTCGCGCAATTTCGATTAATTTAACTCCGTCTTATGTTTGTTTAAATATCTTTTTTTTGTTGAGGGTTGTGCTCCGACGACTACTGGTGATACACCATTTTATCTTTCATGAAATTCACTGTCTAGTGCAGATGAACACAGGTTATATACGAGGTGAAAAGGAATGTATGCAGGGGGAGAAACGTTGTTGTGCAAGGACACTTGTTTTAACACCTTCACCTCCATCCGTATATTCTTCCCTGAAGTTCCTAAACTTCATAGCGTTTATTATTAAAGTTCGAGGTTTTTTCCTTCGTCCTTTCTTTCTTTTTGCAAGCTTTCTATGGTGGAGATCTGGTTCGTTATTTTAAATCACCTTTGCTTGAAGGGCCTCATTCGTTGGTCCTCTGGCAGATATTATTTCAGCATCATTGTATGTTTTCATGAAGTGATAAATAGATGTTCCAGCAGCGTTAAATGTTTTGGTCCAGCTCGGTACTGGGACATAATATTTACCAGTTGAGTTTGACACAAGACCTATAATGCGTGAGATAGAAGACCATATTCGTATCCTTCGTAAGAGACGGAGGAATCAATTCTTATTTACAACTAGGTAACATAGCCACCATATTGGTGGCCAATACAATAAAAATTATTTGAAAGAATTTACATCAAAAGAGATTCAACTGAGATCTCTTCAGCAGTACTTCTACATGGTACTTATTATCAAGCATTCAGTTCTAAATTTGAATCTGTGGACGAAATTTTATGGTCTAACCAGTTAAATGAAGCCTCATAACCAAGTAGTGGTATTCGTTGTTATATACAGTCAAACGTTATTTTTTCTTCCCTTTCAATTATTATTTCGCCTTCCTGCGCATGTGATAAGCATCGAGGCATATTGTGAGCAAGCCAATAAAATACCTATAGCTAACAGGACAAGTCCCTAATTAATTATTTATTTATTTATCTATATATTTATTGTACATACTTAGAAAGTTGTATGACTTGCTGATCTCTTTAATGAAGATTCTTGTGGCACCCTTGGGTATGACGAACATGGTGTCTCCCTTATAGCGACCTTAACAATGAGAAATCGAGTAAATGTGATTATTAAAAACTGAATCATTAGAAAATGCAATTCTTGAGCTCTGATTGGCTTAGCGATCATGGTATATGAGCTATTACACCATTGTCTCCAAATATGGTATTTGTACGCGTCTGCTCAAAATTAAAAACAAGCTGAAAATCGGCTGTTTTTATAAATAATGTCGGGAAGAATTTTCGATATTTTGTGGGGGTTTTTACTCAAACAATTATTTCACTCGCGCTTACGTTGGATATGAGATGATTTTAGCCAACTCATATCCAACTCGCATTGGTGGAATAATTGATAATTATTATTATTATCATTATCATTATCTTTGATGTTGTTGTTGTTGTTGTTGTTTGCGGACAACAATGAGCTTCTTAAGCTTATCACCTCTCAGCTAGTTTAATATTTACAAAACCAATTCGTCAGTTTAAATCCGATCTGGATTTAATGGTCGAAGTTGTTGCCGTGCCTGTTAACTGTTTAAACTGTTGATGCCGTTTTGAACTTACCATATACTCGATAGTTCTTGTTGTAGAGTCCTTTTATCAGAACACAGGAACTTCCATCTCCTCCGCAAATTAAGCATCGATCTAACAGTTTCCCGGACAGCAGCTTTTTATCGCATCCAACCATCTGAATGTCAAATTTTGATTAAAAAGATGATTTAACTTTTTTACGAGCTTGGTATTACTTATGTGTAAGAAAAAAAGAAAACAAATTCATTATTATTTAATAAGATATAGAGTGTTTTAAAATGTAGAACACGGTTGAGTTTTTACACACTGATTTTCTCGGAAAAACAGGGATGGATGCCAGCAGAACTCTTTGACCGTCCAATGTACTCGAAGTTCGTGTTTGTATAGGTCCAAACACTCACATCGTGTTTCAAAGTGGTTACAACATTCGTTAACTAAACTTGTTTATAAACCGCGGCGATACATTCACTTGACCACTCCTTTTTAGCTTAATTGCAAATTTAAAGAAAGTGCCCAGAATGACTTCATAAAAACAATGTTGTACTTACCTGACATTTCCCATCAATACAGACGTCATAGTCGTGAGGGTCTTGTGTACATCTTGTACCATCCTTTACATTGCCAAAGAAACTCCACTTGTTTCCAGAGGCACAGGCTAATAAGCATTTGCGAGCTCCTAACAAAATTGATTTCAAAAGGGATTTTTAGGAAAACATAACCGTAAATAAAGAAATGCAAAAATAAAATAAAAATTAAATAAAGGTGAATATCGGAATAATGCGCATCTTGAATCTAACGTGATTTCGTATTGCGCTATTTGTATGGTAAAGAATGTTTTTGCCACTTGAGATGTAATTAATCAGAAGCGAAACCCTAACAATATCACGCAGAGTCTGCATTTTTTGGCATCTTCATTCACGTATGGGTATGGGGGGGGGGGCGTGGTGGGCAAGGTGGCGCATTGGTGAGAGAACTTGCCCGTGCTACCATCTTGGTCTGTGTTCAAATCCCGGAGAAAAAATAAAGAGCAGACAAAATTAATTAATGAAGGTTGTGGAAGTTGTTTGATCGTTTGACTGATTGATTTGTTTCTCTGAAAATCCTCTAAGCATTGGCCGGCTTAAGATCCCTAAACAGAAGTTCATAGGATGTAACGTCAAATTCATGCATAACGCGTTGATAATGTGTACATCAGTTGTATTAAATAGCCTTTTTTCAATACCTGAAGGGTAGTAGGCGTGGTATTTCTTAGTGTCACTGTTATGATGCTCACACTGCTCCTGTCGAAAACGGTCAACAGCACATTCCTGGAAATAAAGAAATGATTACAAAAATTGAATGTTCCAGATATTTTTCATGATGTTCGGGTAACAGCTTCTGTGACCTTTAACCTTCTAACATCGTCAAATATAACTTCGGGTGCTGGTATAAAATTGCGCAGTAGACTGGGACAGGTTCATGACATCATTTAATCACTGTTTAGTGATATAAAAAACCGCGAAACAAGTGGTATGAAATGACTTTACAAACCTTTCATGACCCTACACTTGATGGTTCATGGTTATGAAGTGGTCTACCGGCAATCAATTCAATTAAGCTTTACAAGTGTAAATTACAAGAATGGCTGTCGTGGAAAATAGCTACACTTCACCAGATTTATAGATCAACCTTGTTAATGTTTTCAACGAACAACATTTAACTTTTTCAAACCTCCGTTTTACAAATTTCAAAATGTCCTTTGCTTGATCCTATGCAATCTTTGCCAAAGTAATGAGGCCTAAGAGAAATCACTCATGTTAAAATTAAGTTTGTTGACACTTAAAACAATTTCTAAACTTAAATACGATACACAAAATACCAAAACACATAGGGCTTGCCTTGGATTGTCACAATGTCGACTTCTGTATTTTACCCCTCCACCACACGTCCTTGTGCATGCGCCGTATGAACCCCAGGGTCCCCAGTTACCATCAACTGGCGGAGGTAGACTAGTTCCAACCTGTGTGCATGTTCCTGCCATGCACCACTTAAAAAAAAAAAGAAAAGAAAATAATAAGAAAAAATGTTTTAGGGAACTCGTTTCCAATTCATGTCATTCTCAGCCAGTCCTCCTAAACCGGCGGGGTCTGTCCTCGCGCGTAACGCCCCCACAGGCAAAGAGGAACAGGAGGGGAGAGTGGATTCCTATAAGAGAGCCTGTTTCAAATTTATTATATTGCGGTTTGGCTTGTTTTAGAACTAAGTCCACTTTGAAACTAAAAAAACCAAGAAAGCTTGTATATATACTTGAGACAAGGTAGGTTTTGCATGTCATGCTCCGAGCGTACTGTTGAGTGTCTTTCAAGTTTCTGTCATATTTGAGAATACACCACACGTACCTTTCTATACCCGCATGCAGTTCCCTCTGCAACTGGAGCTCCTCTGCTGTAACAGCTGCCTCCAGTTGAGCAATACAAAGCACCGCAGCTTTCCTAGAGTGACAGAAAAGACTCCTGTAGAAGAGAGATTATGCTTGCGGACGTTTCTAACTTGGTATACAAAACCACAGCACTCCTACACGTTAAGTTTTATTTATTTATTTATTAGACTTTTTGGCCTTTAGCTATAGCAAAGATGACACCATGCGTCAACACCGGTGCACTGAGACGACATCGACAGGAAAAACAGTGTGGGCTGTGAAAGCTAGCGACCATTTTGGTAGGACATCAAACCATACACTAGAAGTAGAGATTTCTTGTCGCTCACAAAGTTTTTTCCAGAGCATTCTTGGACTTCAACATTCATTTACGAGCCTTAAATTTTGCGTTTAAACTGGCGCTTACGAGTTAGGTGACCCATCTTTTTTGTCACTGGATTACACACAGCATGTAAGAGTTATCGGAGGTTAAGAGCTGACAACCGCTGGAGATCGTTTTGCTTTAACTATACCCTTGTGTAGACTTCACTTCCGATGCTACGTCGTTTCGTCTTCATTCGATAACGCGTTGCCATACTTACTCTAAGCGATGGACAAGCTTTATATTCTTCCCCGTATGCAAGCTGACACTGCTTGTCGATGTTATTGACGTATCCTGGCGGAAGAGAGGGGCTGGGAAGGCTCCTCGGAGGCTTGTTCTGAAAACACGCGAGTGACCTGGCAAGAAACGACCAAAATTTTATGTGCTAGTTTTGTGGTAAATCTGCAATCTATTGTCAACCAGATATTGAACAGATTCGAATAGCAGTGATAGAAAGTTGTTTGGAACCTACGTAAAGATCTTCTGAAGTTTTGCTCTGCTGCAACGAGACCAATGAAAGGCGTTGGGCCCAGAAGCCTGGACGCTGTTCATGATGTCCCCTTTCGCACATTCACCTTTATCATGTGGCAGACCGATGCTAAGAAAACAAGCACAAAAACCGTGCATAAGGTTATCATAGCCTTATATATATATGACGAATTAATCTTGCAGAGGAGGGACGATTAGCTTCCCACAATGCCACGCGATCCTATTTCGGTGACGTTGTGAAAGATCGCGCTAGCGAATTATGTCTTAAATGTTCTATTAAGAATGAGACCTGATAATCTCTCTAATCGGCCCCATATTTCAGTCCGCACGAGTTTTGTTCCTAAAACAAACGAATCCGAGAGAAACTTTATCAATCATAAGTTCACAGCTATCGCACACACGAGAACACTATTTACTCGTTTACAAAAACTCCGTTAAAAATAGGTGGTAAGCCATAATTAAACGAAAGTGTCCTCAATTTAGGGCTGATAAGTTTAGTGAAAAGGTTGCGGATTCCACCATCACTTCTAAAAGACAAAAATGAACTTAAATTTTCAAATAAGCGGCTTACTTGTGTCCCATTTCATGTGCCACTGTGAACGCTGCAGTTAAACCGCGCGCCTCATTCACGCTCACTCCATACTTAGAACTGCACGGTGTGTCAAAGTAGGCGAGACCTAACGGGAAAAATAGAGGTGGAATACAGTAAAAACACGCTCTTTAGAACCTAGTTGTCTAAAAAACTGCTAGCACAAATTTGCCTCTTTAATTCCCCAAAATATAAGAACCTGTTTAGTCTCCCATGCACCCGTTTTTGTCCCGTCACGCAATGCTCCTCCCCAACAAGGGAGGAGCGTTGCGTGACGTGACGGCACAAAGAGCGGCTGTGTAGCAGACTAGAACTTAGTGTATAGCCACGCAAGATCCCGCTTATATCTGAGTTACAGTTAAATCATGATAAATATTTTAACCAAAGAGACTGACTCAGAGATGTGCAAATCTATATATTAATAATTACCAGAAAATTATGTAACAAACTGTAAGTTTACGAATAAAAGGAGTATTACTTTCTGGCTGATTATCTAGTCGTTCTGGGCCCTTACCATCCATGTAGCAGTTACTTAGGCCACAGATTCTCCTAAAAAATTCAATAACATCAAGAGCATGAAGCAATTTAAGGGCTTAATAATATTAAGAAGTCATGCAAACAACTTTGAACTGACAAGTGACGGTCAAATAAGGAACGATATCTTACCTTGTTAGCAAAGCGGCTTGATCAAAATGTCCCTCTGTTCCGTCTGGTGTATTCTTTTTTTGGCTCCATAGTCTGAATTTTCCAATATACCTTCCCGCTGACGTAACTTGGTTCGCTGTAAGATCCATGTCCGGCTGAGGACGAAACAACCATACATGAATTTACACGTAAAGGGGCCATGTCACCGATGTCTAATTCATTTTGTTAATAATGTCAAAAACGCGGAAACCTGGATTAAAAGTTAACCCCGGGTTTAGGATCATCAGCCTTTTAAGACAACTGATCACAGCAAACTTTTCGTTTTGTTTTGCCTGCTGTCCTATCCAACGAGTCTGAAAAGTTGACATTCCCTCATTTGACTTTAATAATGACATTTTTTCTTCTTTTTGCATGGAAAGTATCTCGTGTCACTTAACTTACATCAAATCCTTCCAAGAGGAAAACTTTGACCAGTACCCATGATACATTCATTCCCAGTGATTTATCCTTGTAGAGCCTGCTCACCTAAAGAAAATTACGAGAAAGTAAGAATGTCAGATGAGCAGTTTTTTTTACAACAAAGTCTAAGTTAAGACTGCGCTCAGTGAAACACCTAATCTGAGTGTTTAAAGGAAGTTTGTTTTAAGTTGATAAATGAGCCCCCTAGTCTAGGCTTCAAACTTTCTTGACGGAAAAGCCAGCCATTATTGTTAGCAGGCTGTCTAAATTCTTGGCGGACAACCTCGCTTCAACTCTCGGTTTCCATAACTTCGATCCTTATTAGTGTTAGTGACTAAGATATCGTTGAACACCAAAGGCCTGCTAGTAGTTTAGAAGGTGTTAAACAAAACCGCGTTCCAAGCAGTTCCAACTTAATTGATCAACTGCCACAACTTAGGGACTAGATCAGTCACCTGAAACTTTGGTTATTTTAGTGCAACGGTTTTGACATGAACGCAAATCGTTTTGACGTTGACCCAAAATTCAAACCACATATGTATGGTAAAGAACGCTATAACTGAAGGAAATGAATTTCTTTGTTTCTAACCAGATTTGCCGTGTTAAGGAGGTAATCGAGGGTCCCGTTGCCATAATAATGACAGGTTGTTATGTCCGCTGTCAACATAGCTTCAATGTAAACAGTTCCGTTGTAGACGCTATCTTGACTATAGTCATCGTCTAGTTTTATTTTATCGACGCTTCTTTTGTAACGATGTTCAAATCCTGGAACTAGAGATAGTAAACAAAGAAACAAAACATGGCAAAGAGTGAAAAAGCATGAAGTAATGAAATACTACAGATAACTACAGGAAACACACTTAATTACATCGATCATTTCATTTTTCCAAGCAGCCTAAGATTATACCTTTAACCGGAACGGACTTGATTCGTTCTTTCATAAAGCTATTCACACTTCTCCTAGTTATTACATGGTGCCCAGTCTCTTGCAGAGCAGTGCGTTGTTGAAGATGATCTGGCAGTGGTTCAATTTGGTAAAAACGCCTGTCACTCATAAAAGCACCACTCTGAAAGAGAAAAAGTATTAGGTGGATAGTGCTGTAAAAACAGCTAACTTTTTAATTTAAGGTGGATATAACGCTGAAGTAGGGAAAACAACAGCCCGCATCGAAAGCTGGTCACGTCCACCAGTCTGGTCATTAACCTCGCAATGACCATGAGCAGCTGGAAAACACCTCAGATACCCTTTGTATTCTTTTTGGTTCTTACAAGAAAATTGAAAGTTGTAAACTTCCGTATACTTTTGGTGAAATTCTTAGAAAATCACACGCAAGTCCGAGAAAGGAACAAAACCAAAACCATGGTCCATAGTGGAAAAGACAAAAGCTCTCGACAGATGATTGACGTGGCGATAAATCACTGAATGATTTCAAAAATGCTTTAATGATATGATAGTTTCAGAGTAAGCGTACAACATAATGGAGAAGGCGTCCAAGTCTTCGACTAGAGGCGTTGAATTTGTTGCAATTGTTGCCATAGTAATACTACTTATTTTCCTTACCAAGTGTCCTTTTTCTTCGTCGATTTCCCGCACGGCTACATGGGCATTGGGATCAGAAGCTATATGACCGACATAAAATCTTCCCTTGGGAAAATGAATTTCCTTTTCGAGCGTTCCTCCGACTGTCCTCCTCTCAACAGATAATCCTTGGTCAGTATCAACGACATCGTTATTTGGTTCTACCAGTAGTTCTATATCTTTCCCAAAAGCTGACAAGCTAAATCTCTTCTGGCTGGGCCGGTCGCTCCTTTTGTTCCTTTGACGACTGACTTTAATCACGTCGTACTCTGGAACTAAAAGATCGCAAAAATAGAATGATGTTTTATGTATTTGTAGTTGATGAAATCCATAAACTTAAACAATGTGGTTTAGCATGTAGGAGGACTTTGATTGAGTCATGCCTCGTTGGTCATTCTGCCTCACCTCGTCTCTTACTCTCACTCCCCCCATCTCTCGACGCAAAAGTGTGCATCGCACATTATAAACATAAAACGTGATTTAAAGTTTATAACTTTTTTGTTTTTGAAGCAAAATTTTGCCACGGAATCAGCAGTGATGTGACCGCGACAACACAGAGATCTCACGAAAACGACAAAAGTAACCGTTGTATCACGTGATCGTTAATCTTCCTTTGTTTTACACAAAATAAGTACTTTCATGTCAGAAGAATTTTTCTCGTTCAGTTTCATCTGCTCACCCTTCCCAGTCTGAGAAATAGCCAATTTCATTCCAGCGTGTGCCGTTAACCGACACAGTGATGCTAAATCTTTATTATTTTTCAGATCCCGCTTTTTTTTGTTTTCAGGCTCTCACCTTCTTCGTGGGAATCCGCCTGTAAATATGTCCTCATTTCACTGTTTGAAAGCGTCGCATGCAATTCTGGCTTCAAAGAAATTGTCGGCTAAAATAATTCAAGAAGGTAAGAAATGGAATAGATAAGTAGAATCTGACGCGCCCTTTTTTCCCCTTAACATCCGTTCGGTGCTGTACTCGAGTTTTGTTTTATCTATATTGATTCAGAACAGAATTTTCACATTGAAGGTATACTGCGCTTGATTGGTTCACCCAATAGTCATTACACTACACTGAAATCCGAAATATTTAGAGATGTATTTAGGTTTCAAATAGACTTAGACATCACGTTTGTTAAATCGCATCATTGGGATGTGCCTGTGGGGACACAACATTTCGAAGGCTAGAGATGCTCTTCATAGCCTTAGGTAATTTTCACTAATTGCAATAATGTACTGCTAAATGATAATTAAGGAGTATCTTACCTGGTAAAAAGAAAATACAAAATAAATCACTACAAAAATAAGCCGCCTCATCCTTCTGTGTTTGGCTTGAACCGATTAGTGTCCTTCTGCCAGTTGAGGAAGAGAACTCAGAATTAGCTAACCTGAGCGCATTATTTAAAGCCCGCCATTATTAAATTCCTTAAATCGTGTACATCAGAACAAACCGGGGAACAAACCCAGGAAATCCTTCGGAAAATAAATTTCCTTTGAAATTTGATCTGTATATTCCGCGTGGTCCATTTTATCATTTAAAAAGAGAAAAAATGCGACAGTAAAAATATACGGAAGAGAAGTGAATAATGGCTCGTTAACACCTAGCCTCCTATTTCACTTACTGTATTTAATTAGCGAATGAAACTCAATACTGCAATCAAAGCCAGTAACTTTGCCTTTTGTTTTTTAAAGTTTCTTAAGAAACCTGCCTTCGTATTTTACAAAAACATTTTAATAGGCTAGCGAAACTGACGCTATTACATTTCATTTTTTAAAGGGAAAATTGAGAAAAACAATTTTAAAAATGAGGATATTTAGGCCAGGCTTTGAATTATTTCAATTTTTTAAATTTCATTTATTTATGTTTTCTAAAGAAGAACGTTACTTGAAACATAACTCTATTTTCGTACATTTTAATGGACTCAAAAATAAACCGCAACGGTGGCACTTTTTACTAATTACTGTGAGAAAGGATATTTTGTGTCATATGTACAGATCTTTTAATAGAAGTCCTATATGTTTTCTGTCTGTTTGCTAATACTTTTCACAGGAAGGCAACGAAAACATAATACATGAGAAAAGTGATAAATGAATGAGAGAAATAGATTGAAGATGAAAATGTAAATTCCCCAGGCAACTTTCTTCACCAATTATTAAAAATCATTTTCCTCCGTTCCCAGCCTCTGCAAGTTATTTTCATATATCCTAAATGACAACAAGTTAAAGATATAATTGATTCATTCCTTTCCATGAAACAGTTGTTAAGAAAGGTTTCCTATCAAAGGTTTCTTAAAATTGTTTCGATAAACGTACATGTATGGTGTCTGCTTTAAATGTTGATGCAAAACCTCTTCTTGATATTAATAATAATGATACGGCCGTAAATAACCGAGGGAGAAAAAGAAAACATCGGTGAGTAAACATTACAGCAAGTTGAGAAAAACGTGAGTCACTCTTAACAGTTTTTTAAAAAAGGAAATAAAACAAAGATCAGATCAAGGCAACTGTACGCCAAGTGAGTCCACTAGCTTCGACGGAGTTACAGAGAAGTTACTGTGTGAGTAAATTTCATCAGCCAAGTAAAATAGTTTAATTAGAAAAACATAAAATGCAAGACAGAAAATGTTTTTACGTTTAAAAGACTCATTTCACATCACTCTTTTAGCCTGTTCAAAAGTGATTGAAAACATGTATACTTCAGTTTATTTCTTAAATATTTTATTTGTACGTATGTCGTTTCCGTTGACGTTCATACCTACAAAGCGGGTAACAAACAGTGACAAACACAAACACAACACTGTTTCTTAGCTGCGAGCCTGATTAACTAAGTTTTAAATAGAAGGTAAACTTTCCCAAAGTATAAAAGAGGGTAGTCATTGTTGTTTTGTAACCAATTCAAAAGTTTTTTAATGAAAAATCGCTAAATAAAAATCATAAGTCGGTTCGCTCATATTTTACATCAGTGATCATCCACCCATGACCATGCCATGTTGTTTTAAATATCGTGTATTTGCCGAAGTATTCAGAAAATAAGAAAGAAAAGAGAAACTGCGATTGCAGACCAATATCGCGTGACCTATTTCAGTGTCAGAGGTACAACTATACTCAACAATTAACGGATGAATGCTGAATACAATTTTGCTAAACATCTAATTCTTTCACTAGGTTTTGTATACATAAGCTGAGCAAGATAACTGAGATTTACAGAAGTTTTTAGAGTATATCTGATAAAAGTCATTTTTGGGACCGGTTGGCACAAAAGTCTCAGCTTTATAGTAGTCAACCAGTCCGTGCTTTTCGATATGATAGATCAAACTTTCGTTGAAACGGCTCTATACCCTGTGAAGTTATTCAAAATAAACTCCGAACACCGTTGCTACCGCAAACACGGTGCTATTTTCCACGGATGCTGTAACCTGCGTGTCGTGTTCGGCGTTCCACAAGCATCTACTCGCCACCCTGAGTCCTTGGTCATTCTTCGAGCCAACATTAACAAAGCACACAAGCTTATATCGCTCAATATTTAGACTCTTTACTTGCTCGAGGATCCTTGAACTCAGAAGCTTGGTTAAAAAGCCACACGTTTCCGCTGTGTAGGTTTGCGTAGCGAACATACCTTCCAAGCTATTTCTGATAATTTCTCTCACCTCCCGCTCTGGAAACCTTCTCTTGGGCTCGGTACGATACGTGTTCTCGACAGTTTGCCCTTCATTGTAGCCCAGCTTTTTTTCTTGGATGGAATCAGAAAGCTTTCGCCATAGACGATAAGGGGAGACATAAGGTTGTGTGCCTGCTTTAGAGGCTTTCCGTGAGGCTTGTGCCCCTAGCGACACTCGGCGCGCTGAAGTAGAGCTGCTTATTGATGTACGCCTCGTAGAGGCGACAGCCTCGTCGTCGTGATCGTTAGATGACTGGACAGACTGGAAACTCAGAACTCGTGGTCGTGGCTCGAAATCCATGCTGCCAGTTTCACGAGAAAACTCGGAACGTAATAAACTTAGAGCCTATTGTAAAGTATGTAACAAAAGCTTTGCCAAACCCCTCGCCGCGCCCCCGACTTGTATGATCTCTTTGCTTCGGCTCAGTGGACAAGTGCTGAACAATAATTACCTTTGATAGTTCGGATACATAACTAAAGCGGTTTCGTATTTATAATGTCATTTTTATTTTTGCGATTTAACTCTGCTGCTCTTTTAGTAAAAAAGGAAAAAAAAAACAGCCAAATGTTTTCCCTTCATTAAAAATTGCGTGATTTCACAAAATAGATTAACAGTATCGTGATCGCAAAATATCGTGACTTAAAAGCTCTTAAACGAATTTATGCAAAAAACTGAACTACTTACACAAAAGAGTTCGTCATGCATGATCTCAAACAACTGATATACCTAAATGGTTTAAACTTTCGTTATGCCTCAGTTGAATTCACGCATGATATTTCGCAATCGGCTGGTTTTGATTGGTTCTTCTATATATGTGACGTGACTGTTCCCAGTATATTTTAGCTAGTTTGAATTCTTTCTCGAGCGAATCTTTATCAAATACCTGATAGAAGTAATAAAATGGAAGAAATAAAACGATCTGAAAGAACTGAAAGAAGTCCCTAAGCATAATAATAGTAAAATCGCATTGAGATTTCCTAACTCCGCAAGAAAATGACTAAATCACACTTCTTGTACCCAGGCTTTCCCTTCACTCTCGGCCAGTTGAAGGATGTTACGAAAAATACCCGAACTAGAATGTTGATATAGCATTCATGGTTAATCCAATTGCAAAGTAGTTAGAGGACAATTTGAGGCTTTTCAAAAGTACTTATGGAGTAGTAATTTTTACCTGAATTTTACAGAGTTAAAAGTAGCATGAAAGATCGACTATGCGTGACTGATGAGACTAATGATGTCATATCTCGAAACCATGGTAACCGATGGTCCTCGATTTTTTTGTTCAAATAATGTGTCTGAGAAATAACAGAACAAGTTGGAGAAAACCCTTCGACGTGTAGTGTCAGCCCTCCGATCCACTTTTTCAGTTATGGATTAACATTGGACAAAGAAAATCAACGGACCTTTCCAGTACCAAACAAATTTATTGCTTCATTTAAGACATGCAAGTTTGGTTTGCAGTGGTTTGGTACAATTTTCTCATTTTTCAACAGGATACGTCTCCAGAAGACAGATTCTTAACAACACCTGTGAACCCCACATAACAGTTGAAGCAAGCCGAAAATCTGTAAAACAAAGAAGAAGGAAAACGAAGGTTAAGTAAATCAATTAAGACACCTTACTAGTAAACTTCTTGGAAGAGCGCTTTCTTGGATCCGTAGGGATGCCTTGTTCCACTCTTGCGAACCCCAGGGGGATTTTTTCGCCGAAGGTTCAGTTCAACCCCTTGACCGTGCTTGTTTGCCTCCTGCCAGTTACCGGGTTTTATTCGCGTTGTGATTTTGATTACGATAACTGATTTCTCTCTTACTCAGAGCTGAGTGGTGTCATCCTGTAAACAATTAGCTAGCGGAGCTAAGAACAGTTCCAAAAATGAAAGTGAAAAGGAAAAAATACAATATGCAATTATCTAAGTGTGACGTGATTGCTCCATGTAGGGGAATCCAAGAAGTCTAGGATTCTGGATTCCACGCGCGTGGATTCCTTATTCCAGGTACTGGATTCCAGTCTTTGCCAGTGGAATTTGGATTCTAGATTCCAATCGTTAATTGGATTCCGGATTCCACAAGCAAAAATTTCCTGGACTCCGGATTCCCTGACATGGGACGGACTTACATTTGTGTGCTCCTTCCGCTCTGCGCGCCTGTCCATCCGGGACTTACGGTGACCTTTTGAAGTCTCCACTGCAGTATCCAAGAGGAAAATGTCTGACGAACCTTGATCTTTATAAGCTTGCCGATGTTCAAAGAGGTGGGCACCACAAATGTTTCAGTGCTCTTCTTTTTAAGATTACGGCTGCAATCAAAAGAAATGGTATTCCATAATAAACTAATACGGTCATATCTCCCTTAAGCGACCATCCCAAATGCGAAGATTTAGTTGTCGTTTACGTTAGGTGGTGCTTACGAGAATCGAGTAAAAGGGGCTCGCCTCCGATAAGAGGTTTGGATGCATTTACCCTTATGTAGTTCCATGTTGTCCCTTATTTACGTCCCTTGTATCCTCTGAGCAGCATAGCGCCGTCCGGTCAGTCTCCCTCGCAGCCGTTTTTAGTATCGTCACGCAACGCTCCTCTGTGGGGAGGAGCGTTGCGTGACGATACTAAAAACGGCTGCGAGGGAGACTACCGTCCGATAAGCTCAATTGACTCAATTGAATAAGCGCCGGCCTGCCGAGCGGAAGGTCTCAGGGTCAAGCCCCGGCCGGACCAATACTCAGCGCCTTATTAAAATAACTGAGGAGCATGTGCTGCCTTAGTGGTACCATCTACAAATGGTTAGACATTCTGGTCTTCTCGGATAAGGACCGTGGGCTCCGTCTCACAGCTCTTTGCTGTTCTGATTCTTGTGGGACGTTAAAGAACCGACACTGCTATTCGTAAAGAGTAGACCCTGGTGGTGTGGTACAACCTTTCATTGGCTGGGTGGTTAATGAATGGGCTGATATCAATTGGGACGCAAGTCCTATTTCATCCCCTGTCACCGTGTTGAGTCACCGTGGCGAATTCAATAAATAAATAATAAAATAAATAAATAAATAAAGGTCTGTTAAAAGCCTTAAGATTAAATATTCTTGGACATTGCATTGTGTCTGCAGTGCAAACGTCTGGTCTCGCTGGTACCTTATAGACGCGTGTAAATAATGATACCTTTTTAGTTCAATGGATTCTGTTTCTCCTCCATCGCCATACAATATGATAATTATATGGGCTTTCAGTAAAGATGACATCAACGACCAACTGGTATCGAATGTAATCGTAGTGTAATAACGAACTACAGAAACATAAATGAAACGGTTTAAGGCCATCAGCATTGTAGTCTGTTATTTGGAAGGAACTCAGTCTTATATTTACAATACCAGCTACGTTTATAATGCACATTTTCATTGCACCAGCAACATCCATCATCATCATCATCACAATCATCAAGCATAAACGAAGTAACTATAATACCGGTCAACGTCTGAGCTCTAATTTCCCTGATTTGCTAATCCAGCCTTCTTCTGAGAGCTGGAGGCTGGAAGAAGGGGAAAGAGACAAGTGATCTTCTTACAGGATAATTTTATGTGTTTGCCGAGTGTCTCTTTGCATTGTAGTCCGTTAGAATTTCATTATAAACTAAAACCATTAACCCTTTCACTGCCTAATGTGGCCAAAGGCAAATTTCGACCAAATTTCCAAATTTCATTTTCAAAAATTTTGAGAAACACATTGCATCATGCGAAAGTACAGGCAGAGAGCTTTCACTTGAATGGTCACATCATAGGATTTCGTCCACGGACTCAGAAGTTAGAGTCACCTTATAAAACTCTATCAAACACTGTGGCAGTGAAAGGGTTAACAACATAAAACTAACTAGTTGGCATTTACCGCAAAATGGAGAGCCTTTTGCAGTGTATAAATAGTGGCTGCCATGAATCTGATGATTTTTACTCTTCACAGCTTTGTACCCCATGATAGGGCACGTTCCATTGCATTTAAGACAGCGACCGCGGTCAAAATCATCAGCGTTACTGCAAGGGAATCCTTCCATGGCATGCGTACAATTTGGTGACAGTGAATCGATGAAATAGTCTGTGGCGCGAAAGTGATCGCACACGACCGGATTGAGGGGTCCCCAACCTGAAACAGACGATCAGTTCTAAAATCAGTAACTTGATACGGATCAGGCGGATAGAACGGCGCAATAATGTTTCTAAATATTTAACGCAATAAGACGAGATATCCTTTGGGCTTGCCGTGTGTCATGATGCAGATAGTAACCTAAAATTTCAAAACATTTTGAAGACAATACAGTGATTTAAGTGAAAAGTAAAATCAAATTCCTTCGTCCTTTATATTTTAGTTTGGCTGAAATTGTTTTGAAGAAAAAGAACCGGAGAGTAAATTACCAGTGGTCACATCAAGGCAGCCCACTTGGTCTACCCCTCCATTGGGATAGAAATCTATGTGTCCGCAAGACTGCTCTATTCCCCATCGCTTGGCATCTGTATGAATGACGTCAACAAATGTAGCATCACTGGGATCCAGTCGAACCGCTGGAGGAGTTGAAGCAAAGAGTGGTCCTGCTGGATCCAGTCCTACAATCATACAATCATAATTTGTCGAAAAATTTAGGTGAAAAGTGTTATGCTGAACGCTGAATATTTAATTAAACTGACGGGTTGACTTCTCCTTTAATTGTCAACAAACGTCTGGTGTGAAAGGAGTTAAGAGTTGCAAAAATTCAAAGTAAGAGCAGTACTGCTTTCCATATCCCTCTAGGCAAACACGCTGATTATAGTAGTATTTTTTTAAGACGTGGTTACCATCTACACGGACCTTTTGTTAGACGATCTATTTCTTTTTCAAGCCGTCATGTAGTACAAGTACAAAGGGTGGGCTGGACCTTGCAATGTTTCACACAGCACGAAAAATAGGAAAAACACATGGATAATTATTACCTGTAATCCGCCCTAACGTTAATCCCGCCTTCCTCAAATGACTACCAGTGTAACCAGCGATTTGACCTCCAAGACTGAATCCCACCACATGGAAGAGGTCCGCAGAACCTTGGGTCTGAGAAATGAGGAACTTAATCAGCTCTCCTATCATGGCTCCTACCAGGCGAGTGTTCCCTGTGGCCTGAGCATACGGAGGTAAGCTTCCTTTGGGCCAGTTCACAAGAATAACATTACAGTCAAGTTTTCCCAACAAACCATCTTTCATTCGCGTCATCCAGCTCGGATGGAGCTCTGCAAGATTAGCCATAAAAATGATTGTTGAAGAATTGCTTGGTTGGTTTCAACGTTATCAAGTAGAGGATTAGGACAGTTGAGCGCGCGTTTTATATCAACCATAGAAAACGTTGGAACTTAACAGACCGTCTAAAACGAGCCATCTCTTTAAATAAGGGAGTCTGCTAGGCAACTCTTGTTGGAATAAGGCAAGACGGTATTTAGAAAAATCCATTCAAATATCAAAGGATTGCAGCTGCAAAGCAAGGGATACCATGCACATGTACTTATGTATTGATCGATTCTTTGGGTGAAGCAGACGCGAAACAAAGCTTGACAAAACGGACCAATCACAGGGCCTCTTTGAAAACGTGTCCTATTTCCGCTCAGTACTCTCCGGTACGCTCGTTGCGAAGCAGAACGGACCAATCAGAAAGCCGCCTTGGAAAGGTACTGGTCAACTGGCTGTAAAAGAAGGTATCAGGTCGTTTCGCCCGAAGGTTGATTAGCCCAGACTAAGTCGATTGGCCCGATGTGTATTTGTCGTTCTTTAAGCCTGAGAAAAAGGATCGAATAACCATGGAAAGACAGGGACTGCACCATGATGTGGAATCCAAGATTAACTAAAATAATATCTTGGAGAAGTAGGTTCACCATGTAGTAGAGTGTAGTTGCATGTCATCAGGCGAATCGATTCAAGTCCTAGCGAATGCCAATGGGCGAAACGACCACGATTGTAAAAGAGTAGTTTTTTTGGTGTTGTGGATGGGTGGGATGAGCTAATGATCCGTTAACAACCAACAAAAGGCCAACCTTTGGTTCTTAATTGTGACGTTCTGCACGTCTTCAAGTTCTTTTCTTAAGGTTGCTTTGGAAACTTCTTTGAGATCATTGTCGTTCGAGCTATTAGAAGGACAGGTACGAGTTCGGAGGGTTGGGGTCTTTTCTATACGTAGCAATAATGTTACATACCAATAAATCCATGCACGACAATCACAGTTTTCCTAGTTTTATTGTAGTGAGACTGCTGAAGCATGTTTAGGTCATAATCGTTAATTGTCTCTTGCTGTTCCAAGTTGGACCTGGTGTAGAGGTCAAACGTTGGCGAGATCACCGATGGTGGTAGTGGCAGAAAGGCAAAGCGATGATCAAAAGGTGCTGCATTGCTAAAGCATCCATACTTGTCGTAGCAGACTTCAGCTTAAGGAAATAATAGAAGTAATCACAAACAAATTAGTACAGCTATTAACTGCTGATTTTAAATAGTCTTCGCTTTCTGACAAAAGCATTTAGAAAAGATTAGTAACACGACCACTTAAACAAAACAATTAATGGAAGCCTCTATAGTTTATAAAAATGTAATTTACCGGATAGTCTCTATTGGAACAGCTGAAGTGAATAGGTGGAAAAGAAAACCAACACTGACTTTTTCTAAAAAATATTGTCAAGCTCAATACCACTTAAAAAAAAAGAAAGAAAAAGGTTTCTGCGTAACTCAGAAATGACTCACTTCAGGAGACATCGATGGTAAATATTAGAAAATATTAAAGTAATAGCGGAGTTCTGGCGCGCGAAGCGCGCCTGCGGAGGACCATGGGAAAGTAACTCTACCCATTCCAGAAACTTTGATAATCACGTGACCGTACACCGCCCGCCCGTCCGTCCGCACCACAGGGAAACCAATGTTCAATCTCACACTTTCTAGCTAGTTTGGCAACACAGAAAGACTGATATTACACACATATTGCACATCAATGTTGTGATCAATTGACAGCTGTCAACAGGGTATCCGCTGACCAGTGTCACCTGATCGTATCGCGGGCTCAGGCGTTGACCCATCGAGGTCGAGTATCTTTTTGAAATTATCCGCTGACAAGTTACTAGTTTTCAAATGATTGCAGGCTCAAGTTTAATTTTTTTTAATTCATATGAAGTATGTTGTGTTTTATATGTGCCGCACAATTAAAATTTTGATTTCAAACTGACCTCGGAAGTTAAAATTCAGCCAGTTTTTACAGGCAGGGAAGACAGGCCAGTTGCTTTTGACTTTTCTCACCAAGTTCACGCGTTGGTCACGCTGTGCGTCCAATTTTTATACTCTGATTGGTCAAAATTTGGCAGCTGAGTTCATGCGGAAAATTTATGCAGCATCTTAAATCTTGTTTACTCTGATAGCTGAAGCGGACAGAGTTTTGTTTCAACTTGTGATGCTTTTAACTGTCTTTTTCCACTGAATGTACAAAGTGAAATTCAGCTGCTATCAAGAGTCTTCTGTTATTCATGGCTAGTTTGTTTATTGGGTTTTTGGTTGAGTAATACGTCGCTATGGCAAAGTCGGAAATCCGATTTCGGATGGCATCGTTTTCGTTTTTCACCTTGCTTGATGCGTAAGACGGTTGAAAAGTCTGAAGCGATTCTGGCCTTACTTGATAGTTTTCAGTGCATCTCGAATGGTAAGCCTGAGCAATTATTGTGTTTGGTGTTTCTTTTTTATATCTAATTTAATGAAGTCGAGCGTAGTTTATGCGGCTATTTGGTTTATGCACGTTTGTAAGATTTGAGACAATGATCTGACCGAGTATCAGGTTTGATTATAAGCTTATAGAACTTTAAAAAGCCTTTAGACATTTTCTCACCGCAAATAGAAAGCAAACGTTCCAAAGAATATTTAGCTATAATTCTGGCTGTAAAAGAAAGCTTCGAGCAATTTTCTTTCCTTGAGTTCATCTTTGAAAAAAGCAAACACCGGGAAGCCGGCTTAAAACATAAACAAGGATTTTCAGAGACACTTTAATACTTGTCTTCGTGAATGAAAATTGTTGTCTCTGTAAATGTTTCAGTCACCGCATTATTTTCCTTTTATTGATTGTTAGTAGTCTCTTTTGACCCCCCCCCGCGTCCTCGTCCCACACGTCCTCACGTCCCATACTTGATGTACTCAAGTCCCTCGTCTCGCGTCCCCAAGTCCACACACACGCGTCCCGATGTCCCCGTCCCCTTGTCCCCGTCCCACTTTTATACACAAGCCGTACCAAACGCTTTTGAAGATTACACATCGTTATAAAACCATTAAATAAAAATAAATATAAAAAATTCTTTATTATTTTGAAGCGTATAACTCTGTTAATCTTAATTTAAACAGTCGACTTTGGCGCTTATCGAAAGTGAGAACCGGCTAGCCGTAAAGGTGATTTTGGAAATCTTTTTAACGGTTTCGCTAAAAGCCCACGTGCTTCGAGTCGTCCTGAATACTGAATGAGTGCAATTTGTATTGCAAAATTGTGAAATACTGCATTCTGTCCGAGGTCTGTATGATAAAAACAGCGCCTCATGGTACTGTTTCACCTTAGATGTGATGTATAAAAAGAATAAAAGTCAAAATCAAAATATTTATCTCATGGGAGACTTCAACATAGATCTGTTAAAATATGAAACTTGTAGTTACACACAAACCTTGCTCCAAACAATGCAAAGTTTTTAATGTTCCCATTGGTTGATAAGCCGACTAGAGTCTATGGTAATTCAGCAACTTTAATTGACAATATTTTCATAAATAATCCTGAGAATAATATAGTCAGCGGCAATATCGTGTCCGATACAACAGATCACTTCTCTCAGATGTGCATATTAACGTCGCACTGTAAACCATTCCTACTTTCAATGCAAAGTCTTTCATTGACGACTCGCAGAATATTAATTGGAATAATATTTGCAAACATACCGATGCCAATCAATCGTTCTCCAGGTTTTACAAATGCGTCAACAAGACAATTAACAAACACGCCCCTTTAAGAAGTATATCCAATCGTAAGCAAAAATTCCTTGCTAAAGCATGGCTGACTGCGGGTTGAAGAAAATCAATCAGGGTAAAGAATAACCTCTTCTATACCTCAGACCGTGACAAATACAAATTTTACAGAACTAAAATCATTTATCTTACGAGATTAAGTAAAGCGAACTACTACCAAGTTTCTTTGATCTCAACATATGTAATATGCGTCAAACTTGGAAAGGAATTAACGAGCTAATGGAAACTGTAAAAAGAAAAACAAGCGCAACTCAAATAACTCTATTCGCTCAAACCCGAATGAGGTTCCAACTAGTGACCCGAAGGAAATAAGCAATATTCTTAACAAATATTTCGCCACTGTTGGGAGCAAACTGGCTTCTAAAATTCCTCAGACCATAAAAACATTCTATGATTATTTAGATCCGCCACTTAATCACACTTTCTTCTTTGATCCTATTATTCCGGAAGATATCAATTTAGAAATTTCAGTTTTGCAAGACAACAAGGCCCATGGTCTCTACTCATCTCCAGTTAGGCTGCTGAAATTGGCAAAAAGGGTCATATCCGTACCTCTAGCCACGATTTTTAATCAGTCTATTTGCTCAGGGATTTTTCCATCTAAACTAAAGTGTGCTAAGATTATCCCGATATTTAAGGACGAAGATGACACGCTGCCCGAAAACTACCGACCTATTTCTCTGCTCTCGATTTATAACAGGATTTTTGAAAAACTTATGTACTCCAGAGTTACCAAGTTTGTGAAAGATTGCAACATTCTCTATGATCAGCAATACGGTTTTCGCAGTAAGCACAGTACTCAGAATGCTGTACTTGATATTGTTAACACAATTCTCCAAAACATGGACAACGGTAAATTTTCGTGCGGTGTTTTCATCGATCTCAAAAAGGCTTTTGATACTGTTAACCATGAAATTTTGTTAGCTAAACTTGAAAATTATGGTATTAGAGGTGTAATCAACTCCTGGTTCAGATCATACCTGACTGATCGGAAGCAAACTACGGAAGTTAATAATGTTGTGTCTGAGGCTGAAACGACCTTGTGCGGCGTGCCACAAGGCTCAGTCCTCGGACCACTCTTATTCCTACTGTACATCAATGATATTTACAAGTCCTCTTCGTTATTTGCCTTTTATCTATTTGCTGACGATACTAGTATAATACTTGCAAATAACAACCTAAAGGAACTCGAAACACTTGTTAATCGCGAGCTTGGCAACGTCAACGAATGGCTAAAGGCCAACAAACTGTCCTTGAACATAAAAAAATCAAATTTTGTAATCTTTCGTCCCCGGCAAAAGAATATGCCCTTCATACCTAGGATTAGAATTTTTGACTCCGTGACTAACACCTACGCAAACCTTGAAATGAAAGATTATGTAAAATATCTTGGCGTTATGATTGATTCAAATCTTTCACGGAAATACCACATCGAATCTATCTGTCACAAAATCAGCAAGTCGTTAGGAATTATAGCTAAGATTCGACATTATGTCCAGCGTCGTGTTTTACTTTCAGTTTACAACTCATTAATTGTCCCTTACTTGACTTATGGTATTTGTGGTTGGGGAAATTGTGCCTTGACATTTCAAAGAAAGATCGTAACTCTACAAAAACGGGCCTTACGTCTCATCTACTTCAGTAAGTCTAAGGAACACGCCGTACCCTTCTTTCTCAAATCAAATTGCCTTCCCCTGCCTAGCATATTTTTCAGAGATTGTAGCTATTTATTGTATGATATCAACAGACAGACAGCACCAGTTAGTATTCTCAATCAGTTCGTTAAAACAAGTCAGATTCATAACTACAGAACAAGATCTGTCTCTAGCGACTCGTTTTATGTTAAGTTCTCTAGAACCGATAAAATGTATGCCTTTTTCACGAGAATCGGTGCCCAAATTTGGAACTCTATTCCGTATTCGATTAAAATACTTAAACGTTCGTCCTTTCGTAAAAAAATAAAGGAATTATTACTAAATTTTTTGCGGTCAGAAGATGATTATGTCCAAGTCTCCCGTCTTATTAAGTTATTTAATACTTTAGGTCAGCCTCTCTTCGTAATCGTTATGTACATGCCTTGTTTTATGTTAGTTTAAATTCTATTTACTATATTGTAGTGACTTCACTGTTATTTAGTCCATCTATATATAAATCGTGTTTTGTAATATGTCTTCAGCTCCCCCCGCCTCGATTAGTTCATAAGCTATTTGCGGGTGGGAAAGTAATGTAATTAGTTATTTTCCAATTTTCAATAAAATTTGTTGTTGTTGTCGGTTTACACGTCCCCAGACTTGTTGGCAAGATTTTGTAAAGTAAACTTGTCGAACGCCAAAAGTTCGGCCTGATTTGTTTTCCAGGCCTAATCTACTGTGATCAAGAGCCATTATGGCTCTTAAATGTGATCGAAGATGATTGCTATTTTTTGGGTGTGCATATAAGGCTATCAACTCGATGTAAGATTAAGTTCACTCTTAGACGGACTGTTTGCAAATTATTTTTCTCTAAAATCACTTAGCTTTTCCCTCAAAAGTCACATGAGTGTGCTCTAAAGTTAACTGATTTGTGGAATACAAATGAAAATTGCTGCGAGTTAGCGCGAGGTTCGAGTTATAGAGGGTTCGAGTTACCGGGAGTCGACTGTATTAGTAAATATTAAAGAGACTTTGTGAGAAAGTACGGTAAAGCTTTCATTTTTCTTCGGAGACCAGAGAGGTGGTGTTTCGAGTTTTTAAAAGGCGAGTCGAAACGGGCTCTTTGAGTTCTAATATTAGCATGAGAGACCCTTGAACTTTGACCAACCAAAATACTTAAATTTGCGTTCATCCTCTTGGATCTATTACAAAAGAAGGTTCTTCGTCTCTCGCCATTCTCTAACCAAATGGATAGCTTGATCTCGGACTATCAAAGAACTGATTGTACAAACAGTCACTATACTTACCACTTAAAATCCCAGCCAGGCAAAAGACAACCATATACAAGGGGAGCATTATCTTTTATGCCTTACGGCGAAATGTGATCCGATCTGATGACGAACGTTCTTGGTCGATTTTTGTTACGTTGACCTGCGAAGGGTGACAAAACGATATTTTTTTGAAAAAAAAATGGGACAGCTGGGCAATCAGATAATGGTTAGTTTATTCCGAAAAGTTAATGTTTGATACGTTAATTTTAGTTTCGTTAATTTTACTATTCTTACAGTTGCCTTATAGATCTTCGGCAGATACAGACAATATTCTAATCTACAAACCACAATATAACTAAAGCGTAGGCTGGAACGAAGTTCTTACTTGAGCTGATGATACTTTAAACCCACAAACACGTGGCAAAAGTTTAAGTCACTTCAACAGATGCTGCGTTACGAAAGGGAGTACTAATTACTTTAAATTATTTTAAATTACAGTTTTGCTTTGTCTCATCCACTGACAACATTGTCAGTGCAGTTGAAAAAAACCGATTCTGAGTTCGGGGAATTACTTTGAATAGAAGCACGTTAAGTTATTTCAATAATTGTACGCACTAATCGTTAGCAAAGAAAGAAGATTGTTTGTCAGGTGGAGGAAAATGTCAATAACAAAAATAATTTGAAAGTATCTGGAAATGAAAACTATTTGTACAGCTTATTCGATGCTTTAATCTCTTGGCTTTGAAGCTAAAACTACATTTACTTATGAAAATGCATTACCGATGGATTTTTTCTTGCGTTACGATATGAGAGAATTTACGCGAATTCCTTCTATTCCCATCGTTACAGGTAATGTATCTCAAATGGGAAATTTTTTATTAAGCATGCGCAGTTGCAATTGACCGGCCAGGAGCGTAAATTTTGACTCCGTCAATAAAAATCGTCTCCACGGGTGTGTGTACATTCAAGTTGGCGTTAGAGAGAAAAAAAAGACAGCTGATTAACTGAAATTAATATTTTATTATTTTTCTTTTCATTTATTTCTTTGCTTATTTTATAAAACTGACTGAAAATGTGAAATCGCTGGGCCGATTAAAAACGTACAATGACAGCCTGACAGCAACCAGCATAAAATGACTCTACTTAGCGTTTTGTCCCGGGTGCTTAAAATGAAAACTAAGCAATTAAGGACAAAGTACAAAATTGTTATGATTTGTTTTATTTTGTTTATTGTTGTCTGCGTTCTGGGAAAAGAGAAAAATTCAGAAAAAATATCCTTGGATTGAAATATATATTTTTGTTCGCCTTAAGAAATGGTCTTCTGAGATCCGAAAAAGAAAAAGGTTACAAACTATTATTCATACATGATTATGCACTCAGCACGATACTCTGCTTTTCCACTATCCACAGTTCCGTTTCTATCGGCCTTGGGGCTTCCTTCCTGCAATAAAATGGATAGTTGAGCGTTGAATTTTATTGGTCCGTTTGTAAAAAAATGATAACTTGACTCTTGTTTTCAAAAAAACTTTGTGATTGGATAATCTATTCCGAGTGGCCCGGTTCGTGTAGTCGCACTGTGAATCAGTACATCAGGAAATGTATGCAGCATGGTGTGGAGAATATGCATTCTGGTGTTTATAGGGATAAAGAAGGACAGGGCAGTGGCGATACCATTTAGGTGCCGTTCGCGTTTCAGAAGCCCTGTTGAGAGAGTGCGCCGGGCAGTATAAACCCCACCCATGATTGAGTACAACTTGGTCTCCGCGTTACCTCTACTATTTTGAATTTAGTGTACGGATGTCCGACGTAAGAAGATGCACTAAAAGATCCCCCTCCATGCTGACTACCACATCTTGGAAATCACGCGAAACTTAATTCAATGCGACCTGTATTAACAGTACTGTGACAGTCACAAAGGAACTGATGTCGAACGACTTGGAGGGGAATTGAATAATGAAAGAAAGCCGTAAACTGAAATTCCAGGTGTATTATAGGCCGTTTAAAACGTTTCAATTTTTTTTCCTTTAAAAAGCAAAGCGCTTGAAACTGAAGCAGATCTAATTTCATCAATGTGCCACTATAAAAGAGCACACTTACAGCAAAAAGGAGCATTCGAGGTTGTTTTTAAGAAGAACTTTCCTGTCCTTTTAGTAAGATCAGCATCATAACCCATGCGTGGACATGCACCATTACAGCTACGGCAACTCCCTCTCTTAAATGTGTCATAGTTAACACACGGATACGCCCTCCAGGTGCAAGATCTTTTCACAGACTCGATGTAGTACTTTAGTGCCCTCATGTGGTCACATGGGTCTTAATAAAGAATGAAAAAAGAGACACATATAAAGAGCAATTGCAAAGTATATTCCTCGCCTTAAATGACATTTGGCAAAAAAATATTATAAGCGAGGGTTATCAGGGTTATAATACGTAACATATTCAGTGGGGGCACAGTCTGAGGTTAAAATATTTCATATCACAAAACCACAAGCTAGAAAGGCGCAAATAACCAGTATTTCCTCAAAAAGCCATTTTGCCTTATTATCGTTCACAGTTAAACAATCATGAGTAAAATCTTCCACTTGCTGTCAGTCCTAACTGGTTATAAACGGCTAAACTAGCTGAAAGATTTAAGCCAATCATCAGACATAATATTTCCAATGGCTAATAATTGTCTGATCGAAGATCACTTACGAATTATGTTAAAAGGGCAGCCTGGCTGGTTCTTCCCGCCATTTGGATAAAAGTCTATGTTCCCGCTTGTTGTAGTTGTCCCGTAAAACCCAGCGTCGGTATGGATGACATCAACATGCATACAGGGCATCACTTTTATCAAGTCGAAAGCTCGTCCGGGCGTTTTCAAAGTACAGGCTAGCGGGATCTAAACCTTTAAAAATGATTATCAAATGATTAGTGTACGTTAGTGTTATTGGTTCTCTCGTTAGTGCTCCGAGAGGTTTTCAAGTTCCGCGCGCGGGCTTCTCCGGTCTTCCCCTCCCCTCAAAAACCAACATTTTCTTACTCCAACTCGACCAGGAATGATTTAGGCGAAGAACCACTACGTGGATGTGCTACCTTTATATCGCTTTTTTTTTCTTGACTTGTTCATTTTAACGCAAGTTTGACTATTTACCTGTTATCCGGCCCAAACGCATTCCGCGAGCCCGCAAATAGCTCCCGGCATATCCTGCTGTGTGACCTCCAAGGCTGTGCCCCACGATGTAGAATCGATGAGCAAAGCTGGAAGGGCTCTTCGTACTGGTGATTAGGAACCTTATGAGTTCTGCTATCTGAGCCCCAACAAGTCGAGTATTCCCTGAAGCCTGCCCATATGGGAAGCCAGCACCTTTTGACCAGTCTACTAGTATGACATTCAGGTCTTTACGATTCAGCAGTGCATCTTTCATTTGGATATTAAAGGCCTTGGTGCTGCCTTTTTAAAGAAGCAAACTTAATCAAATGAAGTTATATTTTAAACTAAGTCTGAATTTAAGGTTTCGGCCGCAATTGGGGACATGTAACCGAGTTATTTCCAATTCATCTAATTAAAGTTAACTCTTTTAACAAAACTGCGAGTGCGGCCGGGTTTTCTACAGTCTTAATCGAGTTCTAAACGGGTTATGCAAATCAAGAAAGAATAATAGAATTTCTTAACCAGATAGGTTAAAAACCACCTCGCGAGGAGGTGTAAAGATATCTATACCCAAAACGGCAATTTTACGCAAAGATAGCTTTTGGCCTTATTAAGAGATTTTGAGAAAGGGAAATGTCTAGTCCGTCTGTATTTCCCAGAAAACGAGAAGTTTCTCGTCACGCAATTCAAATTTTGTGCCACAGCTAGAAACCGGAAATCATGTAGAAAGAAGATCGGGGTAGCAAGAGTTTACAACGTGGTGTCTAGGTTTCCGGTCTGTTTTGAACAGTCAATCAGGATTTCATGGTTGATATTTCGAGAATAATTTTATAATGCCACACCGTTGCGTCGCTGGTGGATGTTCTAACACTCGCAAATAAAAGTCCTTATTTTAATCTCTTGATACACAATATGTCGGTGTTTTTTTTTACAAAAGAGTACTTCTCCGAAACAGATAATAGTCCCGGGGGACTCCGCATATGAAAGGGGTGGGGATGCTCGTCGGTAATTTTGAATTAAACCCCTAAAGGAGACCGATCTGGGCGGGGCCCAAGCTTTTTTTGACCCCTAAAAGAGACCATGTCAAACACAGACAATATAAATATATTTTTATACTTTTTCGCGTGCAACCCTAAACGAGTCCTTCACGGCTAAATATAAATATGATGGCGTTTTGCCCAGAACACCCTAAGTGAGACCAAAATCCGAAATTTATACCCCTAAGCGGGACGACGAGCATCCCCACCCCTTTCATATGGGGAGTCCCCCCGGATAATAGTGAACTTAAGCAAAGACGTTTTTCAGCGACGCTCGTCAACCGGAAGTGGATTTTTTTCTTTTTTTTCATTTTTGGACGGTGGTTTTGCCCAAATTTTTTGACAAATCTTCTTTATAATAGTAAAGATACTAAATACCAATTTGTTAGCTTCAAGGTATTTAAAATGAAAAAGACCTCACTTCTGGTTGACACGCGTCTTCCGGTTGACATGCGTCTAAGCTTCTGGGCGGCTGAACGCCTTGTTAGATCACCATCATGTTTTTCCGTCTTTTAGACCTTCACAAAATGTTGATAAATGTTCATATTTGGACATAAACTAGTTCATGCTTTCACCTGTAACTGTAAACCCATGAACAAGGAGAATCGTTTGTCTTTGAATCTTGAAAAATGATTTTTTGAGCTTAGTTACGTCTCTGTCATCAATGCTCTGCGCAATCTGCCTGTTGTTCCTGGTAAACAGATGAAAAGATGTTCCAACCCGAGATGGTCGCTGTGGAAGCCGCACCAGAAGATGTCGATGTCGGTAAAAGCAGCCATATTTCCCATGGCAGACCTTTGATCGCCACAGGAAACCTAGTAATACAAAAAATGACTTTTTTATTCGAGCCTAATATGACCATAAATATACAGGGTCATATATCCAGGGACAATATCCCAGAGTCCATGCATGTATGCACGCCATGAATGGTGATAATGGCGTACTTATAATCTGCATGAATAAATGCATGAATTGTTATGAATCGTCTTGTTACAGAAGATGAACTGCTTCCGTTTGAAGTAAGTACTTCGTATGTGGCACGTCTTCGCAATTTCTCTCAGTTCCACCAGTGGAACAGCACAGAGACTTTATGAAACAAATCGAAAACAAAAGGCGTGTTAATTTGCTTTATCTCGACTGAAAAAGTCCACTTAACTTATATCAACAAGATACATAATCTTTTATAACCGCATAAAGTGAGTGATTATGAAAGAAGACATGTCTAGTATCATTTTATCTTTAACTGTGACTTTTTACACATCTTTAAAAGTATAAGTTTAAACTTTAAAACTCACCACTGGATAAATCCAAAAGGATCAAACAGGCCAGCGAAAACAACATCGTTGTTAAATCTTTTACAAAACGATTTTCTCTTTTCTCAACGATAATTCCCCGCGTCGTCGATTACTATTCAATAGAATGATATTAGGTAGCTAAGCACTCGAAATTAATTTGTTAGTCATTCATGACGATATAACTGCTAGCCAATACAAAAAGCGAATAGCACTTAATCGCTTCTGATCATAAGGTAATCCAAGACGGTCTTAGATTCTGGAATTTCAGAACTTCAGGAACTGGATTCCGGATTCCGGATTCCGTATATTCACACCTTGTGAGGAAGAGGGGGAAATCGACCTAAGTATCCCAGCTAATATTTTCTCGGGGGTTTTAGTAGAATATGACTGTCGGGTTAGCGTAGTTCAGGTAGTTCTGAATAGGATTGTTGTTGAAATTGACTGACCTTTCGAAAACCTGCGAGTCATCTTCAGAGTCAAAGTGAGTTGTATCACGTCAATTGTCATTGTGATATTTTAAACTGCGGTTATTGGCATAGTTGTATAAATCACGATGACCTAATTGTTTAACCTATGATTTATTGGGTCTGAAGACTCTAAATGTGATCAGCGCATTTCGATTCAACTTTTGTCACAGTCATAATGGACGTGATTAGTTAAATTTTCCTCTGCCAGAGACCAGAATAAACATATAGAGACTGTTATTCCCATGCAGAGGAAAAAAAGACTTAACATTTAAGTAATGGTCCAGCTAAGAAGGAGGCAGAAAAACAATAGCCCGCGGCAATAGCGTCAGTTATTTTTCAGGCGCTAATTTCTCTAATCAAATTAAATCTGATTGGTCAATGCGGCGAAAAGCGCGAAATTTGAATTTTAGAGTTGAAGTAAGATAGCTTAAAGACTTATTCAAACAACTTTTTATTTCGTCTGTTGCTTTGTTATGTTGAAAAATATAACATATCTAAAATTTAAAAGATTTCTATGCGCCAAACCCGAGGAAGTTAAACTTGGTATGAAATTGCATGAATGATGATTACAGGGTTAAATCAATCAGCGACATTAGGGCCATTTATACGAGGAAAAATAAGACGCGTCTTACGTAAGTCGCGTCTTAAATAAGACACGAACTTTCCGTATAAACGGCACATTTCGTCAAAAATAAGACGTGGCTTAGCTAAGACGCGTCTTATTTTAGAACAGCCCTTAACACCTGTTCTTAGATAAGACGCGTCTTAGCTAAGACGAGAAAAACTTCGTATAAATGACCTTCACGTCTTAGGTAAGACGCGAACGCATAGTACGCATGCGTAAATTTTTTGCGCGCCACGTTGGATTGCCATACTACGGGCAACATTCACATGAAAACGAGTCAAGAACAGAAATAAGACGCGAACCATTTAATTTATACGAGCTGTTCTCGTCTTAGATAAGACATGCTCGTATAAATAGCACAGTTCGCGTCTTATTTAAGACGCGTCTTATGTAAGACGCGTCTTATTTTTCCTCGTATAAATGGCCCTATTGTGAACAACATTTACGTCGGGAGGCGGCGCTAAGGAAGAATAATGGCCTTTTTTTCCCTGCAATTAACAGCAAAAAGGAGGAGAGATTGGGGCGGAGAGAGAAAAGGGGATTATTTTGTCCATGCTCCCTTATTCTTCTTTGCTCGGGCACCTCCCTCGTTCCTTACGGCTTCGCATCGACGCTTGCCACTCGCCCGTGAAATCGATCTACTGCCGACTCAAAACGAAAATAAGAGACAGTCTTAAATATACGGGGGTAAATGAAATGAATACATTTACGCTTCAAATCCTTTTATCCAGTTTATTACAGACAGGAAGACACTAATCTGGAATTAAATTTCACATTTATCAATCCAGTTCAACAAAGCAAATAAATTGCACCATTTGTCCGGTCGAGATCTACTCTTTGATTTCCATCGGCGTCAGGGTGACCTTCCTGCAATAAAGGAGAAATAACCTATTAAGCTCTTTCGCCCACGCACTTAGAGCATAGAAGTGTAGGCACATGTGATCGAGCTTTTGCCAGTTGTGAATTTAACCTTTCATTATTTTTTTTTGGAGTGTTTCGTTTGGCAAGATACCTTAAGCAAAAGTATCAATTCCATATCTCATGCACTAGATGTCAGTACTAGTGACAATAATCAAATAAAAGAGAGGATCTTTTATCTTTTATGATAAAAAAAATCTTTTTACGCATGATCAGCATCTTATTTCTCCTTGGAGATTCACAGTTTAACCAAACAGAACGGTCTTGAGAATATAGGAAATGATCACAAATTATAGGAATCTCCTTAACACTGGAATATGTTTAAGCCGGAATGAGCATGCTGACTTTGGTCGACTCGAGTAAATAAAAAGAAGTGGCAATACTACCTCTCGCAGTTTCGATGTTGCAGAAACCCCGTTAAAGGGGCAGTTTGTTTGCTTCTTTGGGGGGCTGGGGGTTGGGGTTGATTTGAGAAGGAAAGAAATAAGGGTAGAAAAGTTATACACATTAACCAGTTCGGTCAGCTAACACCCCATTGCCAATTTTTACTCTTTAAAAAAATAAATATATAAATGGTGAGAGGTCGGACTTTGAGGCGGAGCTTCCCCGTATACAGACCCCGGGGCAAAAAAAGCTATAACATTAGCAGATCAGTCGAAAGGCCGGCTTACACGAATGTGTCATTATTAATAGAGTACATACCACAAAAAGGGGCACTCGAGGTTGTTAGTAAGTAGAAGCGGCCTCTTCTTTTAGTACGATCAGCATCGTACCCCATGCTTGGACATTCTCCATTACAGCTTCTGCAAATTCCGGTCAGAAATATGACGTAGTTAGCGCACGAATAGGCTCTCCAGGAACATGATCCTATAACAGAGTCGAGGTAGTACGAATGCGCCCTGCTGTGACTGCAACCTAAAAGAATAACGAGCACAATTGATTATTAATTTGTTTACCAACTTATTGATTTTATCAGACTCCTTTTTACTTAAGTATTTCCCTTTTAAGGCCTCTTTGAAGGGAAATGTATTCAACCAATAAATTCAAAAGCGTGGATGGCATAAAACTTCTATTCAACCTCTAATATGGTCAACAAAACTGAGAATTTGTAGGTAGATAACAGAAAGCCCTCATTTTTAGCGGAGTCCCAATACCTGAAAAACTTGGTTATCTTTCCATCCGAAAAATTTTGGTTATCACGTGACCGTACGCCCGTCCACCCACCAGGCAGGGAAACCAATGTGAAACGTCAAATTTTCTAGTTAGTGTTGGAGCCTGTAACCTGTCTTTAACCTGATAATAGACATCCATATTATGGTCAATTGACACGTGTTAAAAGGTACGTACGTCATGTAAAACAAGGTATCCGCTGACCAGTGCCACATGACCGTATCGCAGGCTAAGGTGCCAACTCATTGAGGTCACGTGTTTTTTAGTTTACAGCTGACCAGTTGCTAGTTTTTACTTGATCGCGAGCTCAATTTTATGTTTTGTATTCGTGGTTTTCCCGTGAAGTTATACAGCTATTTCGAGAGAGGTTGTCGGAAAAAATGTGGGCGCGGCAATCCCGAAAGGTAGCATGGGATATGATCAATACACTGTCCTTGACACTGTAGCTGTCGAACCTACTTTTGTTGCTTTCCTTTAAGCACTCGCTAACGTACGTCCATGGCCTCTCGTGTCATTCTTTCAAATTTCTTTGAAGAACAGTGAACTCAAAACCACCCACAATACCTTTCGGAATTGTCGCGTGCACTTTTTCCGACAACCTTTCTCGGAATAGCTGTATAAATTTGTGGTCTTTTCAGTAGTTTCAAGTCCATTGTCTGCAGTAAATTTAAAATGCTTAAACGGAAGCTTCGTTTTTTAGCTCTGGCTAAATCTATATATCATTAAAGTAAGAGTCGCCCTATGTAAGGTAGTCCGGATCCCCGGGACATTTTCGCTCATGGAATGGCGGAACTCAGTTCAAGGAATCTGGAATCCACCTGGTTCAACTCCACTGACAAAGAATCCGAAATCCAGCACCTGGAATCTGGACCAGTTCACAGCTCAGTAATCCAGAATCTAAGACTATCTTAAAATACTTTACCTATAGGAGGATAAGAAATATTTCGAGTGAATATATGATAATTGTCTCTACTTTTTAATTGCTTACCAGGTTCTTGGCAGCCTGGTTGAAGGATTCCTCCATTTGGCCAAAAGTCGGTGTGACCGCTTGCAATGGTGGTACCCAAAACCCCTGCATTGCTATGAATCACATCAACATACAGAGCGTCGCTTTCATCAAGGCGTAAGTCCGTTCGGTCTGTTATGAAATGCACACTGGCGGGATCTAAGCCTAACAGCCAATAAAAATGCTTAATGCTTATATTTTTCAAACAAAATACATCTCCATTTCTGATTGGCTTAAAACCCCGCGAATAATTCTCCATAACCAGCTTCAATAGCTTTGACCAAATTTGGAACACGCAGCTTTTGGGGGAATTTGTGGGCTTAACTTTTCAGACTTTTTGCGAAGAGGAACCCCTGAGTAAAATCAGCAAGAAAAGCAAAAACAAAAAAAAAACGCGGAACAGTTGACAACTGCTATTTAAAGAGTATCTAGTGGAGTATTAACATCTCTTTATATGATGAATTTACAAAGGAACAGATAGACCAATGAAAACAACCAGAACTTAACAACGATTAAGGTAAGCATGTTTAAATAATATATATATATTTTATGAATATTATAACAATTATGTTGGGTTCGATGTCTCTTGGTATTTCAGAAACTATTGCTGTTTCGCTTTTGGTGTAAGTGCAAATTGTTTGTTGTCTTTTCAGTCTTTTGTATTACGTCATTTGGTGATTACACCCGTCTCCAACACCAAGAAACAAAATTGTGGAGATCGAGGAAGGTGTTATTGGCCGAATTATTGGATTCGGCTTTCGAATGATCTAAATAGCTTTGCAGATCTAGGAGAGTGATCCCCCTCTCGGCCAATAACACTATCCTCGATCTCAGTTATTTTTCATATCACACTCAGCGTCATCCAATTATGGCTAGT